TGCGCCAGCAGGAATATACTGTGTCATTGACTGTTGTCCAGCTTTTTGTTGGTCAATGGTGCAATCGCTTCCAGCTGCCTCAAGCTAGCAATGCAACAACAATGAGTCCGTCCGCACCTCATTTTAAGACACGGATGCTTTATGAAAGCACGGATGGATTTGAGTACATTTGTAACTTACACAATGTGGGCCCTGGGCGTGACAATGACTACCGTTGCGCTGTGCTGTGCGCTGCCTTTAGCCGGGTGTGAAATAGGTCCCATAGATGAAAATACCATGCTCAAAATCAGATTTTCGATATGGTTATCCTAGATGCACACCCACAGGCCCTGCACGCCTCCTGTATGTGCAAAAAGAAAATGCAATTTCACTGGGATAGTCCCATTACTAACTGCTCAACATGCACATGCATACAACTTTAGAGTTCTTTGTGAAAAATAAGATAAGATGCTTATTCATTTATTGGTCAATAAGATTATTTTGGGGTTAACCAAAGCCAAAGTGTTCTTCATGATTTTGGTCATTTCATATCTTGATAACTATATCACATATATCACAAAATAGCATGTTTTCTGGTACTTTAATAAATAAATAGTCTATGTGAAATAACCACATGGTTTTATATACTCTTGTATAAATTAAATACATGATGAATGAAAAGTGTTCTTTCATTTATTAAGACCTTTAGGGCAAAATAATCAGATCTTTAGAGAAATCTGAGTTTGTATGTGCTTCTTATGATCAGTTTAGATGACTTCATTTTGTATCATGATATCTTAATATGTGATTTCATTATGCTATGATTCCATTGAAAGATGATTATATTACTGAATAATCGACCAGCCATAGTTGTGAAGCAGCATAACATCAAAGTCTACCTACACTGATATTAATAGGCAGGACAAAATGGTAGAAACACGGGTATAACTCAATATAGTGCAACAGCAGCACAAACTGCAGCCTCCAAAGACGTCATGAAGGTGAATCAACAACACCTCTCTTCAACAGTACTAACACAAGCTGAACATTAGAACCTTCATAAAGGGAAGATTGATTGCAGGGCTGTTGCATTAGACTGCACATATATATATATATATATATATATATATATATATATATAGCTAGGCGGACCTGATAAACTGGCACATGAATATAAAGTGGTCCAGTGATGTCGTATGTCTGCCAACCTATGATCTGACATGTTGAGTTGTGACAACGTTTCAAAAAAAATATTCTGCCTTTGGAAAAGATAGAAGAGAGAAGAACAGAGTAGTTCTGTGGTGAGTCGAGACTTTTTATATTCACACACTTTGGCCAAGTTATGAGTGAATCTTTGAACCATATCTAAACCACAGATGGAATAAATATAGAGAAAGCTGACAATACTCCTGTTTTCTTTTAAGATCTGAATTCAACAGTTTCACAACAGTAAGTCATCAGTAGTGCTAGAATTGTACCTCTAATGAAACAAACACTCAGCCCTGAATCCGCTGACTAAGCCCTCACCTCTAACTCCTTCGTCAGGGAACGACTGAATCATTGGCATATCGACCAAATATGATTTTCACTCTGAATCACAAAGACTGAGAGGGTTATCATTCACAGTATACATGCACTTCTCCCAGAACCTCGTCAGCAAGAATCAAAGCAACATTTTCACCTCATCATCATATGCTCAGGTACAAGTAGTCATCAAAGCTTCTCCCACACTGTTAACACAATTCACACAGCGAGACGCAGTATTGGCCGTACATGATGCACTGTTTCCAGCACACAAACGCATCACTCATGTGTGACAGTTGATCAGAACCAAATGAACAAATGAAGCTCTTCAATAGCTCAAATGAATGAATTGATGAGCCCTTATATTGCTGCCATCTGTCTACTGTCTGTCTATTGTACAGCGGCCTCACAGGAAGGAAAAGCCCATCAAGAGGAAAATGTGTGTTTTGGAAAAAGTCAGCAGTGATTCAAAGTAACTTGGAGGAAACTTCAACATGCAACAACACAGGAAAATACTGCTTTACTATTTTAGAATTTTAGACATTTGCCAAAAAAATGATGGCTGAATTCCATTCAGCTGCTTCAGTTTCGGGGTCCGGGTATTGTTCATGCTGCTCGCTGTCACACTGTCATGGCTTAGCTACTGGGACACTTGAATAACACAGAGCCATCGTCGATGTTATTAGTGACACCTGTGACACCTGCTATGACAATTCAAAATGTGTGCTGAGAGAAAGGGCCGGGGCTCTTCGGTCGCTGTGGTGGTCTGATCAGTATGTACTGGAAGCACTTTACTGATCTCGCATTAAAAGATAGACCAACTCAGAAAAAACTAAAAATCACTCGGGCTCAGGAAACAGTTGAACACCCTCGCATTAATGCAAACATGAGAGAAGATAAAAAAGGCAGCAAGGACAGTATTCCCATGCTGCACACATATATACTAGTGCTGGGCAACGATTACAATCTTTACAGTGATTATTTCATCTGGATTTAAAAATGTTCAATGGAAATCTAAATTGAAAATCTTCAACCTCCATATAAAAGTTTTTCTTTTCATTTTAAACCTCACTGTTCTTTTTGTTTTAATTTGAGCTCTAATGTGAGTATGTTACAGTATGCATTACAATTAAAGCACAGTATGTATTCTTCTTATTAGCAACAGAATTGCAGTTGGATTACATGCTCAGCAAAATAGGCACGTTTCATGTGTTATGTGGTTATGGTTAAGGAAAGATGGTTAAATATCATGAAAGTCATTGACATAGAGGACAGCTTGACAGATGTAGAATATGTGTAGGATTAGAGAATGTGTGCAGTGAGAGCGTACCTTGAGAATGTGGTCTGTGTGCAGTCGTAACAGTCCAAATATTTCAAAGCACAAATTCATGAACAACACGTACAAAAGTAGTGTCATGCACAAAAGCCTTCAGGACCAGAAACACAACAGGCCTCATTAGTTTTGTGCTGATATTTGAGATGGGGATCTTACAGCACTCTGTTGTGCTTTATCTAACCGGGACACAGGAAGAGTTTCACTAAATACACTCACAATTATAAAGTTGATCTACATGTTCAGTGCAGTGAAATTAAAGTAATTCATCTGCAAAATACTTACGAAACATCACAAACATTGTGTGTTATGGTCACATGTCATTGCAGTTCTTCATAGGTCAAACTGTAGTGAATGCAGGAAACAGTCAAATGTGAAATGTGAACATGTATCATGTGAGAACACTCGGCAAAAAACCCAGAACTCATTTCAAATGTATTATCTAAAGATATGTCAATACAAAAATTGTGTTTATATTTAACATATTGCAATATACATAAAAACATGTTTCCCTCAACATCACATCTGACTGTTGGCAAGGAGCATCCAGCACACCAGCATCATCAGGGTCTTCTAAGGTGGTCTTAGTTAAATATCATGAAAGTCATGGACATAGAGGACAGGTTGACTTTTTCATCTTTCTTTAACTCTTAATCCTTAATAAGTGTTTTAGTATATCTAACGACACATTGGGGACAAGAGACAAACCCCAGTCTCAGTGTCAAAGTCCAGCTCTTTGTACGTCCACGTCTTTATGTGTTGTGTATTCCTGGACTGGAAAAACGTTGCCTGTGAACATAAATCAGGCGCAATGACGTTTTTGCTAAATGTATTGGGTGAAACCTTTTAATAAACACAAAAGCCTAAATGATCTCCAATGACACAGAACCAAAGAACAGATAGTTCAGTCCTATTGTACAAAAAGCTATTTCCATTCCCCTCCACTGTGTGTGGGTCCCGGTACAAACTCCAGTAGTTCCTGCTAAAAGTAAGTTCAGAGATAGATCAGTGATTTTAGTGACCCAACACTTTTAAGGACCAGAGCAGTAACATACAGAAAGTCAACTTGACCTTTTTCATTTTGAATATTCTTTTGCAAAATCCCAGGCTGGTTTAACCTCTCTGCAGCTGGATATGAATACAGATGTGAATGTTACTCAGTGGATTCTTAAAGACAGGAAAAACAACAACATGAGACTTGATTGATCTAATTTGTTGCTCAACTTTAGAGAAATCCATCTTTGTTATTTGAAAACATTTTCTTCATTTTCTTATAATGCATATTTTCTGTCATTCATGCTTAAAAGAAGACCCATTTGATCGGAAAGAGCAACAACTACAGTGCGTTACATCATCATTTAATGTCATGTTTAGGAACTGTGTCTTAACACTTCTAATAGATCTGGAATGTGAGAATAGATAAGATGTGTTAGGTTATGTATTCCTGATGGAGGTACACTGAATTAATACAAAACATCCACCCGTTTACTGAAAGCTCGGCACATTTGGATTGAAGGACGATGTGTAGAAATAGACGTTATTTCACTGGCGCTATAAGAAGCACAAAGTCGGCTTGTTTGTTCTTTTTGCTCAAGTACAGAACAGCTTACTTTCCAACAAACATATTTTTTCAGGTTGTCAGAGCGGCGGTGGGAAAGTGTAAAAGTCTGCGTTGCAGTTTCTTATGGTGTTGTGATTTGCTGGCTTTGCTGGGCTTTAACTTTCCTCCTTCTCCTGCTGTGGGTATAAATACTGAGTGATGTCTCGCCGCTCTATGTGCCCTCCTCCTCTGAGACATCGCCAGGTGAGTGAATACCTTTATTCTAGTGTCAGTACTAACATCATGTACGAGAAACATTCTTCTTTAAGATAGTAAGATGATGCAGAAGTTCTTCTTTCAAACAGCTCAACTGAAACTTCAAATTGAATTGCAAACTTTTCAAAAATGCACACATGATGTGGTTTTGATTTTATTGTAAAGTACACTTCCTCTTTTTTATTGTTTCTCTTGTTACTTTTTAAAAATAATTACAACCTAAATCACACAACCATGCAGTCCTCTTCAGAACGAGGTCTGTTATACTTTTGCTGAAAGTTTGAGTTGCCGAAAACCATATTTCCTGTGGAATAACTCCCCCTCTGAATCATTTCTAAGTATCTCAGAGGCAAAGAGGAGGTTTGGCACGGAGGTGTTACGGTAAGCACAAAACTTACTGTTTTATTCCAAAACTTCAAATCATCTGACTGGGATCATTCCAGAGCGGCAAAAGGAACAGATGTAGAATATGTGTAGGATTAGAGAATGTGTGCAGTGAGAGCGTACCTTGAGAATGTGGTCTGTGTGCAGTCGTAACAGTCCAAATATTTCAAAGCACAAATTCATGAACAACACGTACAAAAGTAGTGTCATGCACAAAAGCCTTCAGGACCAGAAACACAACAGGCCTCATTAGTTTTGTGCTGATATTTGAGATGGGGATCTTACAGCACTCTGTTGTGCTTTATCTAACCGGGACACAGGAAGAGTTTCACTAAATACACTCACAATTATAAAGTTGATCTACATGTTCAGTGCAGTGAAATTAAAGTAATTCATCTGCAAAATACTTACGAAATATCACAAACATTGTGTGTTATGGTCACATGTCATTGCAGTTCTTCATAGGTCAAACTGTAGTGAATGCAGGAAACAGTCAAATGTGAAATGTGAACATGTATCATGTGAGAACACTCGGCAAAAAACCCAGAACTCATTTCAAATGTATTATCTAAAGATATGTCAATACAAAAATTGTGTTTATATTTAACATATTGCAATATACATAAAAACATGTTTCCCTCAACATCACATCTGACTGTTGGCAAGGAGCATCCAGCACACCAGCATCATCAGGGTCTTCTAATATTAAGTCCAGGTCGTCTCTGACATCTTTGAAAGACAGAATGATATTGAATTATAATGAGAAAAATAAATGTACACAGAATGAGGTGTGTTTTTTCTGACCTGCCTCTGTTCTTTGTTCATGTCTTTACTGGTTTACTGGTGACTCTGAAGCTTCAGGCCTCTGAGAGTTATTCAAATGAAACAAGGTCTCTTGCTCTCTTTGTCTTAACTGGCAATGAGAAATATTGGGAAGCACTGAAATGTACCTGTATATATGACAGTAGATGGACTTTGTAATGATTATTATTTTGTCTTCACCTTTATGTTAAAATAAAACAAAATCCTCCGTATTATTTCCATTATAGTCTCTGTACATTTATAAGCTGAATGCTCCGTACAGGTCCAGGTGTCTTGTCTTGTGATAAGTGAGATCATGCTATAGCAGCCTACCGTCACAGAGAGGGGTGAGTCGACATTTAAGATATTCATGGTGTTGTGCTCGATTGTACATGTGAAAATTAGAGCTTGAGAGAGAAGTTCAAACCCCCGTACTTTCACATTTGGATTGTCCGCTTTGGAAACTTAGTCTGCGTTCAGACCATCTTTAGGCCCACACCAAAGACCGCAAATGGAAAATGGTGGATTTCATGTCTCACTTTACCTGAAGCTACACCAAGGTGCCCCTTGCATTAATGCAGGACTGTCTCAGTCTGGGGAGCGCTGGGTTTCAAACACTTTGTGAAAATCCTTCAAGCACCTCTTTCAAAGCACACTGACGCCTTAGATGTTCACCAAAATGCTTCATTTTTACAGGGGTTGTTAAATGTCATGTAGATTACATGTCGCAGGAAATGTACACACACACACACGCACACACACAGCAAAAATGGAAACTAAAATAGCCATTTAGGCATGAACGTTCATTCTCAACCTTGGAAACATATTTGAAAAAATATATTTTCAGGCCCATGTAGTCCATCTATAGTCCACATTCATCTTCTGCTGGGGAAGGCCGAAAGATGTAGTTGAAAGCTCAGGAAAAAGCCAGTGGACCTTGAGTGAAGTTTTCTTTTGTCATACTTTGAAGTGCTCTGAACACCAGAGGTGTCGTGACGATAACATTCTGTGCAGGCCTACGTCTTTTTCCTCTTGCTCCTCTCATTTCAAATCATTTTATCTGTGCTGGTACCTCTTGTTCTGGGGGCTGTGGGGAACCCTAGAACCCACTCTGACAGACATGACGTATAGAAACCTGCTCACCCAAAACAAGGAGATCGTCATATTGTGGTCCTGAGATTATGAGCGTAGTACCGCAGATAGCATGAGATCCTTTTTTAAACATTGGATTTAAGTATCCCTGAAATACTACAGTACATAGTGTATCAGGCTTTGTCAGGATAGAGCAAGAAAGTTCTGGATTTATGTCTCCATCCATCAAGATGGAGACAGGTGTGTTTCAAAAAGATTCATCATCAATTTTGAAAATCTGACATTTGCCGTTTTAATATATTAATTTAACTGACTGAATTCAAACAAGCATTGCTAATTCAGTGTAATGTACTGCATTGCACATTATTATACATATTCATTTTGATCAAGTTCACTTTTAAATCTCCATTGTACTTTTGTGTACATTCAGAACGCATAGTTAAAATAATAAAGCACAAATCCAGATTAGCCAAATTCAACTTTGGGACTTGGCCCCAGATCTAATACAGACCTGTTCCACACCTTCAGGACTGTGATAATACAGACCTGTTCCACACCTTCAGGACTGTGATAATACAGACCTGTTCCACACCTTCAGGACTCTGATAGTACAGACCTGTTCCACACCTTCAGGACTCTGATAGTACAGACCTGTTCCACACCTTCAGGACTCTGATAGTACAGACCTGTTCCAGACCTTCAGGACTCTGATAGTACAGACCTGTTCCAGACCTTCAGGACTGTGATAATACAGACCTGTTCCACACCTTCAGGACTCTGATAGTACAGGTCTCCAAGCTCCATCCTCCTGAACAAACTCAAACAAATATTCCAGATTTTATTCTTTATTGCCAATTCAATGCTAATCATTTATTTTGTGAGGACAGATAAACAAATGTAGGTTATATATGTATGGCATAAAGATTGGAGCGTTAAAGTACAGTCAAACTAAACTGTAAAACTGTTAATTTGATCTGACTCAAAAAAATCAGACAAAAGACATCTCCTGCTCACAGGGAGGAGACACGCTGCTACCCCACTGAGAGCTCTGCTAACTCAGGGCAAGCTGCAAAAGAGTACGCACATGTCTTTCCCAGAAACAATCTTGATACCTTTTAATAAGTTGTATAAACAGATAAGTCATTCATTTGATAACATCTTTCATTTCTAAATGTAGCCAGTATGAACTGCATTATTGAAGTCAAATGTCATGTGTATATGTGATTGGGTTATTCGGATCAAAGACCTGAGAACATTTATTTTTAGGGTATAAATGTGATTGGGATGTGTGATTTGAAATATGGGAGCATGTGAGTAATAAACCCACACATCAGAGTAGCAGTATGAGGCATCTGCAGCTTTCCACACTCTAATGTGGCTGATTTCAATATCCAAACAAGAACTTATTTGAAGACATTTGCGGCCGGCAGAAGTTGACACAGATATACCGACCAAATATCAGTCATCAGATCAAGTCACTTTGTGTAGTGTTGTGACTAAAGCTCTCCTCCCTTTGACAAAATAGACACAAAGACTTTCATGGGCTTCTACTCGGGGAGATACATTCGAGAAGGAAAGCCAGAATGAGAGATGACAGTGAGAAGCCACAAACTGAATCTCACTTTCTACTGAGTTCTGTTTCTGTGGGGGTGCATCTGCACATATGCTGTTGGCTGTTTGCTTTATTGTATAGATGCACACTTCCCTAAAGCCTTAAAGACATCTCTGATGTAACAGTCAGCTGAAAGAAAGAAACCCGCTCTAACACTTTACATCATCTGTAATGTACACAATGCAGTAAGTATTGCATGCTTCAGAGAGATCTGTCATGTCATATGAGCTTCTGAGGGCTTACATGACCAAACAAGATTAACCATCATGGCTGCATGCTTTTAGAATATGGGAGATGAAGCCTGGTAGAATACTAGGACTGTCACACTAGAAAGTAAAGAATGGCCGTGAAAAGTTAACCAACTTGTCAACGAACAGAAAATGTGAACGGAAGGTTCACTGCAGTAGACCCTTTGAAAAAGAATGGACACATTTCTTGAATTGCTACACTCATTGCACACTTATTTTCCCAGAGAGAGGTCCATGTAGCTGTGATGTTAAGTACAGAGCAAAGTCAGGATGTGGTTAGCCTAGCTTAGCATAAAGAATTGAAACAGGGATCTGTCCAGAGTTAAATAATGTGCCAAGCTCAGCGATCTGTCTGTTTAGTCTGTACACAAACAGAGATGTAAAGAGAAGTGATTGTGGTTTTAGTGTAGCAAAGTACTACTTCAGGAAAGATTCCATTTGACTTGGAAATACCATCCAGGCATCTTTGACAAACACAAGTCCCAGTGGTTGCAGGTGACACATCACTGTGCTGCACAGAAGTGGAGCAGCGCTGTCTCCCACTCATTCTGTAGACTGCTGTGGTGATGCTATCAGTGTGTGTGTGTGTGTGTGTGTGTGTGTGTGTGTGTCTGTGCACCTGTGAACAACCACAGCCTTTCTATCAGAAGGCCTGGAACAGGAAATGTTTTCAACCACTGACTTTAATCTCTTCATATTCTGGATGCTGATTGGCTGGAGGGTGTGCGTTATTGTCAGATAACCACACAGCTCTGATATTGCATTCTGACTTATTCCTCATGTTTTTTTTCATAATCAAACCTGATCCATTATTTTTCTAGGATAGTCCCATTGAGATGTACAATCTCTTTTGAGGGGGAACATTTTCATAAAAATAATATAACAAACTTTTTTTAAAAAGACAGCACATTGCATCAACCAATGAATTAGCAGTGTTCCGTTACAGGACCAATACATTCAAAATATTATTCAAAAGACACGACACATTATGGATCGTTTACAAAAGAATAGGATCAAAGCAATAGTGATAAGGGCAGATGTATAAGGCCCTGAAGCATGTACCAATGATCTATTCTACGTGAAGATGAACTTGCATGCATATAAACATATCACCATAATCAATTGCTGATAAAAGCGTTGCTTGAATTCATTTTTTTTACGAGGAACTTCACCCTGAGGTTTCTGTAAGACACTAAGACACTAAAGGTTGATATCCTAGGACAACAGGTATTTCATGTTGAGACTCATTCAATCATCTTATTTTTGACAGTAACAATCTGACACACATCATCAGCGGTCTTCTTCCATCTTGAAAAAGATATAATTTAGCTTTTGTTAACATTAGGTAATTCTCAATTCACAGAGATTCCTCTGAACAACAGATTGCAGTTTAATTAATAATGACACTTGCTTAAGATGAGGCAGAACTATACATACTGGTGTCGTCCACATAACAATCAAATATTGTATTATTAACACTGCAACACAGTATATTAATATCAAAATATGAATAATATAGCACCCAGTATGGACCCTTGTGGGACACAATTTTGTGTACTTCAAAAGCTAGAAATGGAACATCAACTTGAACATTCTGTGTTCTATCGCTAAAATAGTTTTCAAACCATTGAACGGTTTTAGAAAAACAGCCTTTGTAACAAAACAGAGTCAACAGTGTCAGCGCCGTAGGAAGGCTCGAGCAATAATGCAGCACAATATGCATTAAGTCAATTGCATTCATGACGTTTCAGGATGATGTTTTTTTTCCTTGATAGGAACTTATTCGTTACCTATAAGCTGAAACTGAAAGTTTAGATACTTCTGTGACTTTTAGGTTTAGCAATATTTTCAGCAGCAATTTGTACAAAATATAGATCTTAAGCCTCAGGGCCAGCTGATTTATTCTGTTTTTTAAAGCATCCTGTACTTTAATAATTGCAAAAGTTGTAAAGTTCAGATCAAAAGGCAACTTTTATTCCGAGTCAGAGGAGCTTTCAGACATCTCTATTTATGTTGCCCTTTCAAACAATTGGCCTGCAGATATTAAATGTCCATTTAGGATATTAAGCATACTTATTTTGTCTGTAATGATTTCGTTATCAAGATTAAATGACTATTCTAGCACACTGTTACCGGTGCCATCATTTCTTTAACATAAAAGTCTGATTTAGCTTCATAGATCAGTTTCTCGGGGATCTAAAATGTTTCCAATCCGGGTGACCTTTGGATTTTTCTTGCAGTTGCCCAACCAAGATCTGACTCATGAATTATATGTTATTATAACATCTAAAAATAATAATTCAATATAATAAAAGGCCACCTCAGGTTTAAAAATCACACACTTTTGCCAAGTCACATGAATAAAAATGTGTGTAGAAATGCTTTGAAAGGGCTTAAAATGTCCTTGTGGTCTAACATGTGGTTGTAGCTTTGGAAGGTTATGTCTCTCACTGCAGCAATTACGCATGATCACTGACGTCTTCTGCAGATACAGCGGAGGCTTTTTATTTGTGTGGGGTGTGAGTTAAAAATGAGTCAATCCTTACAAACCAGCTCATTGTAAGTTTGCAAACATTCCTTTGTGACTGGATTTGGCTGCACATTTTCAGATAACAAAGAAAGATAAGTGTGTGTGTAATGAGAAAGGTTTGCGATTTCATTTGAGTCACTTCTTTTCATGAAAACAGTCCAAGAGTTCACAGGAGGAAGGAAACATACATTTAGGAGGAGGAGTCTTAGAAGACGTTTAAAGTAAGATGGTTGATGGTTGACACTGTCTCTGTTAAGATACACAGTGCAGCTACCTGATAGCAACACCCAACGTATACAACTGTGTAAAAGAGAGTGTTGAGGGGCATGTGATTGTCTCACAATATTTATATGCAGAAATGAATTACATTTTTAAAGACATGTCACACTAAAATAGCCTGCTGGCTACCTTTACTTGACTCTTGACACACTGTTCACATCAGATTGTTTAATATATCAATGAATATTTCAATTTCTGCAGATCAATTATTAATTCTTTAGTGTTATAATTGGTCATGATTCTCCATGAGACATGTGAGGCTCTGAACTTATATATGTTTCATATTCAATAGGTTAGGTTTGGGGTTAGTGAGGTAACTTCAGGGTAACTCTGGTTTTCAGTTCCACGACGGAGGTTCACCTCTTACTGGGTGTATCATGGTAACTGATGCTGAACACATAATCTGCTCTGGAGCAGGTTAAATTTGAGATTAGTGATTAGCTCGTATAAAGGCTCCGCCTACTGACCAATCACAGCTCGGTACCTGGATTCTTAGATAATATTACACAAGTACGAAGACGTTTAAGTCATAATTCAGTTTAAACAGACAAATGCAGAAAGGACAGCTGGCAATAAATCACTGACAGTGTGAATGAACAGATTTATAATATCAATGCTTCATCTAGAGCACCACAGATCTGACTATAATTTCATGTGTGTATTATATTAATTCATGTGTTGCAGATGTATTCTGATGGCGTGTGACAATATTTTAGCCGTATTCTTTCCTCTGTAACCCCGGTGGTGTGAAACAGACAAATCAGTATATATTCTGTCATCATATATTCATTATGTGTGAGCCGTGTGTTGTAGTGTGACGTGTTGGAGTCCTGTCTACACTCACACACTGGATGCAGCGTTACTCTGCTGCGGTTACCTCAATGTTTGCTGTGGGTTATTATAAGTTATGGAAGGAAACCTTCTTACCATGAATTATGTCTTTAAATTTATTTGAATTGTTACCAAGTCTGTTTCACACCAGCGGCCTAACGGCTGAAAGAATAAGAATACATCCAAGCAACACATGAACTTAGAGAATAAACACATGTAATCATAGTCAGATCTATGGTGTTCTATATGAAGCAGTGATATTATGAAGCTATTGATTTAAACACATTCACACTCAGGGATTTCGTCCAGCTGTCCTTTCTGAATTATGTGTTTATCTTTTACATATTCCTCTGATATCATAGTTTTCTCTTTATTTGTAAAATGTGTCCAAGGTTGTGATTGGTCAGATGCTGCAAACATGCGCTCACAACCAGATTGAGAGAAGCTGGTGGATTTACTGAGTTGATAAGGTTAGTTAAACCAGATAACCAAAAGATACCCTGGGTATGTTGAACTCACTTCGTACTACAGGCCTCTGGTTAAAAGTCCTTTGTTAGTTTGACCCATGAACCTCCCTTCTCATTTATTTATTTATTATTTGGGAAGGTAGCCCTCAAAGTCTTTTACTAATCAGTAACAAAAGGCTGAGGACCCCTGGTTCAAACTATGGGGAGCAGCGAGAGGCACTATTCTGTTAAAAACAGATAAAATAACTAGATTAGCCAGCAGCCCCCAAACCCAGGTTTATAAAAGTATGTATAAATGTTTTACAAGTCACTTCTGTCACTGCAGAGATGCCAGAGACTTCCTGTGAGAGAGGTGGCCAAGCTCAACCACAACATGACAAGATCAAACAGCTGAAGGAGCCCCGCCCTGCTACACCTCCTACTCCTCAGCCTCCTCAGCCTCCTCGTCAGACCAGGGACCCCTCAGGAAGTCAGGTATGCAACAATTGACAACATGCAACACACTTCCCAGATCATTTGTCTCTATCATGAAAGACAGATTAAGGAAGCACTAGAATCAAGACACGTTCTGGAAACTTCTTGAAACAGTGATTGTTGTATTGGGACCTGTAAAAGAATTGACAGACTTTTGAATTTGCAGACTTGTGACTTGCAAAACAATGACCTCGTCTCAGCTTTGGAAGAATGCATTAAATATGTCTAGTTCATAGTTTTTACTTTGTAAGGCAACCACAACTCCTTTCTTACACAATATTGGTTTAGACTTGTTGCTCAAGTCAAGCACAGATGGCACAAATACTCTCATTTGATTTGAAATCACAATGCCTTAATCTGAATTCATTTATTTCAAATAACCAAGACAAACTTGATGCAAAACTAATATTCTGTTTACCATATTATCATTATCATGGCTGCTACATTTCATAATTCGTATTGGCATATCGTTGCAATATGTTAGGATAAAGCTCTCCATTATTATCTCTGTTGCACCAAACAGTATAAAATCCCCTACCGTCTGATAACCCGGTGACTCCTGCTTTAGAGAGACGTTATTTTGCATCTAAATTCATGTGCAATGGTTCCCTCTTGATGTCAGTATGGAGCTGCTCTGGTGACACATCATTGGCAGCTGTACTATGTTTGATAACTGTTTCGGTTCCATTAATACCACTATACTCACACTGCTAAATCCTATAGTTCTCTTCTGATTTCCAGCATCAGGACTTCTTTGCATTCTTTGGTAACATTTTGTTACATTGAGAATTGAACTGGCCCACAGATGGAGTGTAACAGGCACCCTTATATGGTACTTTAACCTCCTGAAAAGGAACGCCCGGGTCCTGGGGGAAACCCATGATGTAGTTAAGAAATATCGCTATTTCATAATCGTCTATCTACAGAACATATTCATTTTATACTGTTTTAAAAATGTGAGTTCCTCAGCTTTCAGACTCTGTAAACCAATTGTATGTTGTCCAAACTATGTGTTATTAGAAAGTATTTTAAAAATAAAGTTGTACAGAAACTTGGTAAACATAAGAACAAGTTGTGATCAAAAGATACAGGATAACTTTCTAGTCACTCTACAATAGCATGATCGGTATCGCTGGATACTAGGAATTCTGAGCTTCCTAATGCACCTGAGCTCACTTCACATCGGAAGACACAGCGGCCACTGTCAACGGGGGAACAAAGCAGTCAAACATCACATTTTTACATCTTTCACCAAGGACCTTTTGCCCAAAAGCCCCAAAGGCAGATTTAGTCTTACATATCTGCTCAATTATTGTGGACAGGAATGCTACACAGATCAGTGGGTATGGGAACAAGGCGTCATTGTGGCTGAAACTCTACGTTTACTTCAGCCAACCTTTGGGTCTTAGTACTTCATTACAGCCACCAAACTCTACATCATTGTTTTGTGGATAGCTCAGAGCCCTGTGGGCCGTTGCATTCCTCAATGTCTCTGCCTGTATAGCATGGAGCTCTTCGGTCATATAAATATTGAGCAATATTTATTGTGTTTATTACTATTTCACTATCTTGGGGAGATTTATGCTATTCGTAACATGGCTATATGGAAATGAATACATATTTGATTAAAACTCCCAGTAAACCGTCAACAAGTAAACAGTAAATATGGCCATAACATTGCGACCACCTCAGTATATCATTTTAAATTGTATCATAAATGTTGTATTTTAGTGTATTTTCATCACATTTATAGTTACAGTTGAAGTCAAAGATTAGGAGCAGATATTCAGTCTCATTCATTGTCTACGGGTTCTTGATTTTAATGATATATTGGCTCTGAAATTTACAATTTATACTCAGTTTTTTTCTTGCACCTCCATTTCCTCTGGAATTGTAATAGATTATGTTTACTTAAATTGGATTCATATTTCTTAGCGTCTCAATGGAGAGCAGAAATATGCATATAAGCCACATAGTTTAGGAGCTATACCTAATTTATTTTGGGCGTATTAACATTAGACATTTATTTTTAAAATAAGGCTAAAACAGCCAGAGTTGAACAGGTTCAAGGCGTGTGGATTATGCTAATAATGAAATCTCACAAACACGCTCCTCCTCATGATCATCAGTGATATTTATCAGGCTGAAATGAGCCACCTATGACAAGTTTGTCAAGTTAAGAGACCTTGTAAAGGATACAAATTCTATCATGTTCTTGTATGAGGCCCGATTAACTATTTTTAAATTTTCACATCATCCACATGTTGACATTGGTGTTTTTGTCCTTCCAGAGTTCCAGTATGGAAGGCATAAAGCAGAAGCAGCAGAGACCATCAGTGCTGCGTCAGCTTACCCAAACAGCTTCCAGACGACAACACGGTACGCAGACACTTCAGTATCCTGAGTTCCACACAAGCAACATCATTTTTCATCAGTTTTCTTATCTGAATAAGTCAACTGAATACAGATTTTAGGACCATCTTCAGCATCGACAGTGGCTGTATTGTTGTTATATACCTCAATGCTTTCTTCCCCTAGTGCATCCAGAAAATAGTGCAGCCGTCTTCATTTGCAAGGAAGAGGTAGATGCTGTCCGTCTACCCCAATTTTCTTCACCACACATGGGCTCCTCTTCCAAGCAAAGCCATCTTTTCCTCCCCTTGAGCAGAGACGACCCAAAGCAGAGCTCCGTCCAGGCCAGGCTTCATGATGGGTGACTTTCTCACTGACTGACAAACAATGCAAATGACTCAATGCATCATGAGATAGCAAGATCAGTTGCCATCTAATTAATGGGTTGAGTAAGAATATGGTGTGATAAAAAATTGAAATATATCTTTATCACATATAATTCAAGTTTCCTTATGTGGTGAGATTAATTAATACAGATTCAGTTGTGATGGTGGAACAGTTGACCAGCTGAAGGAGTCATGGGAGTTTTCTCATCCATCTTTAGATAAAGCTTATGATCCTGTCTGTTAGGGTATGTGGTAGGGGAAGGGGTATTGCTATCACCGCAACACTATCTCGTGGGCATTGGGCCACATCAAGGTTCAGCCTTTTCATTGATTCTGTTTGGACGGAATCTCAATGTGCAGACGAGATGTGAAAGTGTCCACTTCCGTGACCTCAGGATTGAGATGGTTCTGTGGCACTAGGGTTGCAGAGATGAGTGCCAGCAACTGAACTTTGCTGCAATATGATTTTTTGTCACTGCCCCAAGTGAAGCACTTCTAGTATGTTGGGGTCTTGTTCACTAGTTAGGGTACGATTAAATGGTTGGTCATTATTCTCAAAACCAGAGGTTGCTTGTCAGAAAAATTCCACAAAGGTGAATTAAAGTGTTAAAAAAAACAAGGAACGCTGGATATTTTCTGGGTGAGAAAAGAAGCCTGGCTGGCCTGCTAGTACTTGAACCCGCTGCTAATCATTGACCGCCAACATCCCCAACATCTGTACCATTGTTGCTGCAGAGGGTGAAATATATGGAAGCGATAAAAAAAGGAGCTTTTTTCCAACTCTTGGCTCAGCTCTTTCTCCAAAGGTCTTCCCTTGTACTGCACAAGTCTGAACGTACTTCTGTTACAACACGAGGAGATGATATAACTGACACATTTCTGTTCCCGCCAGCATCCCTGAGGAGAGCAGTGCCTTGTTTGTGAGTGGCCTCTGTCGCTGGCCCGGCTGTGGCGTGATGTCTGAAGATTTCCCTAGTTTCTTAAAGTAAGTCGACGGCTGTATATTACATTCATGGTGTGGCATATTTGGGAAGGTACAGATTAAGTTGATATCAGTAATGTAATGTGACAATTACCTAACAATCATTATTTGCCTCTTTAAAATAAATGTATCAGCATATATGCTGCTCCATCTCACCCAGAGTACGATCAACAGTACTGAGTCCAGTGCTCCATCCTGGCAGCACCATTCACTGAGGACACTATGAACACAGAACGTGCCATGTAGTTAGGAAGCACCTTTTGAGTTTTAATGGAACTAGGCCAGCACTTCCATTTGCTCCCAGTGTTTGTGCTGAACTAGGCTTCATTGAAAATGTTGTAATTGAGTCGTTGTGAGGACCCAGTAACTGCACAAAGCACCTCACAAGTCCTGTGAGGTTGCCAAGTTTTAGCTCTGTCTGTTTTCCAAGAATAGGACCAAAGTGAGTCTTAAATAATGTTGTGGCAAAATGATAAGAAGAAATGACAAACTGAAGTTGCAACCCAGCGGGAAGTGTTTTAATGAGAACAAGTCAACATAGTACAAGTTCAGCACATCCAAACAAATCCAATGTATTATTTTTCACATCTTAGTTTTATAGTCCAAATTCACCCCCCTTAAGTCACTTTCCACAAATCAAACCAGTCCGTTGAACCACAAACAAAACACATCTGGTCTCTTCACTATGTCATGCTCTCATGACTTCGTTTGGGTGAAGATAACATTTTGGCAGAACAGACGATTCATGTACGGGAAATGTTTTGATACAAATTGGAGAGATTTATTACAATTTGTCTGGCGCTCTAATCACTTCCTAAGAATGTTTTGTGAACCAGAATGTGTTCAACATAACAAGTTATATAAACCGTTTACTTGTGAAACCAAATGTGTTCAGTTCAATCTTAAGTTATATGATGATTTTCTTCAACAATAACGGGTTACCTAACATATATGAATGCATTAGGAAAAACAATCCAACATCTTTAAATTATTCTAGAAGTATCATAAATGACATAATTATACTTTTTTTTTGTTTGTTCTTGTTAATAACACATTCTGAAAAGTTTACAAGCAATTCGATTTTGAAAAATGCCTTAATCAACATTATATAAGTGCCGGTTTGCTAAATAGTTTTTCCAATATTGCTGCCGTCTGTGGGGATTTATGTTGTGTTCCACAGATTGTGCATAATGTGTACCTCTAAAACTCAGATACATTGAACACTACATAACTCACATTAAAAATGCAGTTCCATCACAGTCATCAATGCAAACAATAAAGATGAATACATTACCAGGATATGGAATTCAGAAGCATGATGGCAGAGGGAACTATACTTCAGTCCACCCATCTACAGTTAGTGTCTTGTATCTGTGACCAGATGGGAGTATAGAGGAAGGCGTTAAGATTTGATTTGAGTTAACGTCAAGTTAAGGCAAGGCAGAGATGACTGGTTAGGGTTGGGGCTACATCTGGGTTCTGGTTAAGGTAAGGAGACACATAAATGGATGGGGGAAGACTGAAACACAACATCAGATCTGTCGCTGTACTGGACACCAATAGATTTGAGTTTCTCATCTGATTTTTAGGTTTCATGGAAACAAGTGTACTTCCCACAAACACTGGACAACTAACCTTGCACTATTTTATGTTCTAGGCATCTCCATTCTGAACACAGTTATGGGGACAGAAGCATTGCTCAGTGGAAGGTCCAGCAAGATATTGTTCAGTGCATGGAAAGTCAGGTGGGCTACAGAAACCTAGAAGGTCTACAAACACATCATGAATATGCTTGTGAAACTAATTGTCTATTATTGTCTATGTTACTTATTATAAAACATGGTGTAAGCTGTCTCCCCACACTACACCGTGACTTATTATAAAACATAGTGTAAGCTGTCTCCCCACACTACACCGTGACTTATTATAAAACATGGTGTAAGCTGTCTCCCCACACTACACCGTGACTTATTATAAAACATGTTGTAAGCTGTCTCCCCACACTACACCCTTTAAGTAAACCATGACATTGAAAAGAAATAGGGCCTCAGGCAGCGTTCAGGCTGACTTTAGCCATGCAACACAGAGTCATCCGATTGAACCGGGCTCAACTTTTAGTGGACTGCAATTCAACATCCTCTGGCAATACGCTGCGTTGGCCAATCAAAAGCCATATTTCTGTTGGATGTCTTTGTAACATGAATGATGTATTTCTACTAATCTTTGACAATAGAAGAAATCCAGATGATTACTGAATGCCTCTGAAAATATTTTCTGGAGTTGTACACTCTTGTCTCAGATGAAAGCATTTTTTTACACGGGGCTATTTAATGTCTTAACACCTGCTAAATGAAAGAAAAGAGACTAATAGCAATAGCTGTTAGTACGGTTCAGTTTAAAATAGCTTCTAACATCCAAATGCATCTATTCTGTATTAGTGACTGCTGGAAATACTGTGAGGTTCATAAATTATAATAAGGTGTGGAGGTCCATCCTGTCTCATACTGGATTTAGTTGCCTGACTTTAACCTAAACTTAAGCATACATAGATTGCCGTACATTGAAGAAATACTCCAGTAAATAGCATAGACTTCATATATGATGGATGGCGTGCCTGCACTTCCTCCCAATGTACGAAAGTGAAGCCAAAATATCGGAGCTAGAGTTTGCATGGAGGGTGGTGGGAGGGTGGCGCTGAAGTCCCGCCCACACACCCGCCAAAGTCAATCCGGAGCCAAGCACGGCCACATCTTGTTAAGCATGTGCCACCTAGCTGTGTCACGTTAGCACCACAGTAGCTGTTTGGCTAGACAGACACAACAACTAACCATAATATCTCTAAGAATATTTTTATGATTACATAGAGTTGTGAAAGTTACATCTCTCTCGTACAATTCCTGAGTTTCCGGCTCCGCGTGGACTTCTTCACTCAGAGCAGCTTATAATAATGATGACTCATGTCTCACCACTTTTTAATACTTACAAACTCTATGAGTCTCGAGTTATAAAATCACTTATTGAGGGTCAATTTGATGTAAATTGAACCATGGGCATTCTCTTCTTTCAGCTCATCCTGGAAAGACAGAAACTCATTGCGATGCAACTTCATCTGCATCTCTCTGAACACAAACACACTGATTTGGTATGTTGGTTCCAATCGCTCTTGGCTTTCACTGTTTTTTCAGCTTTATTTGTCTGATAAAAGAAGGGTTAGTGTAGCTTGAACAATTTTAAGAAGTCTTGAATATTTAGTAAAAATTCTTGAATGAATTTCGACCTGGAAAGAAAGCAAATTGAACTGTTCATGTCCACTTCCATCATTGCATGCTGAAGGCAGCTTCTGAGTGGCCGTACAGTCTTCCTCTGTTCCTGCCCCAGCCCCAGGTAACAGATGGAGACAGAGTGCAACAATGGGGCATTAAACATCTGGAGGAGTTGTCCCAGCATGGCTACAGCATGGCTGCTGGTTCTGCTCATATTCTCCCAGGTAACACACTTTGTATGGAAGCTTATTAATGACCAACACTACAGCAAGAAATAAAGCAATACCTGCTCACACATTTTTGTTGTTGTGCCACATTCTGAGCTCTCAAAAGGACACAAATGGGCTTACAGATGTTGACTATCATGATTCAACAGCCACATCTGGCCATTAAAATCATTCATTCATTCATTCATTCATTATCCAAACCGCTTATCCTGTTCAGGGTCGCGGGGCGCTGGAGCCGATCCCAGCTGACATTGGGCGAAGGCAGGGTACACCCTGGACAGGTCGCCAGTTTATCGCAGGGCACATTAAAATCATACAGTTTCATATTCATTACGTTTTCACTATTATAGTCCTTTAGACAGTTAAAAAACTGATAGAACACATTTCATCATTAGATTAGATTAGGCAGTTGGAGTTTGTGTAGAAAGTAATTGTAATTAGTATTGACAATAGTTAAATTAATGTCAGAATTCTATATTTATATGTTAATAGTTCTTCTTTCTATGAAACCTCCACAGTCCCAGGAGATAATACTTTTTTTCATCTTGTGCAAGATAATAACATACAATAGATCTGAGCTTGAGCACACAAGATAAAACAATCAAACCTTCACTCTGTCCTAATTCATCCGACACCATACAGTATATAACGTCTGATAACTTATCTGATTGTTTGAGAAAGCAGTCTGAAAAATAAAAAGTCAAAATTCTAAATTAAATCCATGAGATTTGTAGCTACAGTACTCTTATCAATTTCTAACAATTTGTTATCTCAATCTTTATATTGGAATGTATGTAATGTAATGCAATTCTTTCAAATTTTGAGTTTCAAACTACGCCTGAACATTGTACAGTTATATTCACTGCTTTTCATTCATATGCGACTACACTAAAGCTTCCCACCAACACACTCGTATTTACACAATGGTAGTTTAGAAGATCAGATGAATAATCATAATCTTAATCACATGTGTTTGATGACATGAATTGATGACATATCATTGTTGTTGTACAGATTTGGTCCCCAGTATTGAATGTTATAAATACAACAACATCAGACCTCCATACACCTACGCCTACTTGATAAGATGGGTGAGTTTCTTTTATAAGATGTTCTATTATTTGTAAAGCTGGTCTTTTTATGACCGATGTACTTTGGCATTCACTGGTGATTTCAGAGAGCAGACTTTGCACTCTTTAGGAGTGTTTTACAGTAAATTGTAAAGTTACTTTTTGGATCTTTTCATGGTAACATCTTTAAATATATTCAGATACATGGCTAGATTAACCTTTCAAAAATGAGTTTGAAGGTCTAGTGTGTAGGATCTGGTGTCATCTAGTGGTGAGGTTGCAGATTGCACCCAACTGAAGTTCTCCTGTGTGCCAAGCGTGTAGGAAAACTACGGTAGACAACGTTAAAATATGAAAACACTATCTAGAGCCAGTGTTTGGTTTGTCTGCTACTGTAGAAACATGGCGGCTAGCTCTGTGAAGATGACCCGCTCCGTATTTAGATATACATTCTAAAGTAATGAAAACAGTTTATATTTTCAGGTGATTATATACTAAATAAAACATAATAATATTATATTCCATTTCTGCCAATAGATCCCCTTATGCTACACACTATACCTTTAAGTTAGCTCTAAAGGTATAATATATTTGGTTAATCCCGAGCTGAAGAAGGGATGAAGATAAGGGTCCAATAAAACATGTTATAACCTAATCAGTACAAAGACAAGTGTAATTAATGTGTGTGCGTGTGTGTGTGTGTGTGTGTGTGTGTGTGTGTGTGTGTGTGTGTGTGCAATGATGCAAAGCTGAGTGCAGGTTTAAATTGGAAAGAATGACATTATGGCTCAAGCTAGGGAAATGATGCCTCAGCTGAAAGTAACTGTATTTGATGCACTGTAGTTCTGCTACACACTGTTGCAATGGTGGCTGATCTCTACATTGGATGGCAGTTCCTGTCACATCTTGTCCGAGTGTGTTTCTCACTGTGTCTGACCGTTTGCAGTCTATCCTGGAGTCTCTAGACAAACAGCGCACTCTGAATGAGATTTACAACTGGTTCACTACCATGTTCTTCTACTTCAGACACAACACTGCTACCTGGAAGGTTTGAACTACTCAGTTTACACATTCACACCTGATGAAATGATATGCATTACACTGTTGGAGCCTTACGGCAAATATCACTTGCTAAATCATCTATGTACATCTAAATGCATCTGTTTTTTCTTAGGGCTCAGTCACATTGGGAATATTTCACACTATATTAAGTTAATTTTACTTCAATTGTTACAGTTGTTACATTATGTTGTCATGTTATTATTTAAATACAAATCATGATCTTTCTACTAACATTAACCAAGTAGTTATGTTGCCTAGACCTGACTGATGTTTCACGATGTTTCACGATGTTTCACGGTTACCTGATGGCAATGTGTGTTGCTGCAAGCATGAAAAGAGGCTGATATAAGACATATTTATGAAACGTATTTTTGGATTGGAAACATCAACATTCATCAATATCAGTGATTTACAGAAACGTACAAAGTCAAAACAAATGTCTGGCGGCGGGTTGGTACAAGTGCTTCTCCTTATCACATATTCCAGAAAAGAGCAAGAGTGTGTGGTGCTCATTGCTGGCTGTTCCTCAGGTTAGGCAAACAGTTGACCAATCAGAGCTATAGAGGCAGAGTTAAGAATGGGCTCGTCATATTGCTACATAGATAGCAAGCTACATATTTAAATCCATTACAAATTTCAACAGGAAAATGGTAATGAGTGCAGATGAAGCCTGAATTAAATAAAATGTGGGTTTACGCTGGCTGAGTCAGATATGTTGAAGCTCTCAGACAAATCGGAGATTCTCATTCATAAATACGACAAGTCAGCAGCAGGTATCACGGTATCACGGTTACACTGTTAAAAGCCATAGTCTTGCTGCCTTGTGATTTAGTCATGTGTTAAGTGATAACAACAACAAAAGAGTTTCCATCTATTGACAATACAATGTCCCTGTTCTAACCAGAATGCAGTGCGGCACAACCTCAGCCTGCACAAGTGTTTCGTGCGGGTGGAGGGAGGAAAGGGAGCTGTGTGGACGGTGGATGAAACCGAGTACCAGAGGAGGAAGGGACAGAAGTATCACAGGTACAAACATCCTCACAAGAAACACTCAGGAGTCAGGAGTCCAGTGCTGTTCATGGGCAGACATTTGGGCCTGGAAGTGCTGAATTTGGTTCACTCCTGTTTCCTCAGCCAAAGCAAGAGACAGGCACTAATGAATTTCCAACTTCCACAAGACAAGGAAAGACAATGAAAGGAAGGAGAAGAGTTTGTAGGAAAGGAAAGGTGGAGCTTAAAAAGAAATTTGAAATTCAATTCCACTTAATACTCAGCAGATTCTAATCCAGCAAATGTCTGCCCATAGATAGAAACAACAACAATGGCTAGAGTGATAGCACAGTTAGGCAGTGCACTGTGTGTGTCACAATAAGTGTGTAAGTGTATGTGTGTGTGTGTGTGTTTTTAGGGACTGTCCTGTGAAGTGGCTCACCTCCTACCCCCGTTACTGTCCAGAGGACCCCTGAACACCAGCAGGTGGAAGCACTGAGCTGAGTCCCATTCACATGGAGAGGTGTACAGAACTGCATGAAGAATTATTGAAATGCCTGTTTTTGTTTTGATTTATTTTCGAATGCCTTGTTGAACACTTCTGTGACGTTTGTTACATCAAGATGTTTTGTACACATATGTGTACGACAGCAGTTTTTGTACTCACCGATTTTTAATTCCAAAAGAAGTGTTGGAAAAATAAATGAAACTAACATTTGTGTGTGTCTGTCTTCAGTCTGATTTTAAACATTCATGAACTGGTGAATCCCGTCAATGAGAAGGTCAGAGGTCAGAAATTGTTAAAATATGTTCACATCACCTCAAACAAGCCATCTGTGTGCTCAACAGAGAACGTCCTCCTACACTTAGTTATCTGCTTTTATTGTTTTTAGATCTATAATCTTGATTTTCACAAATACAATTTGAAAATGGGTCATTTACTCTCTCAACACATTATTTTCCTTTCCCACAACCATGTAAAAAGTTCAAAGGCAACTGCAAATCATTACCATATATTCTATGACATGATTTAATACTGAAATATACAGTATATGTGGTTTATAGAGTTGCAACAAACTGTCATGCAAATAAATGTATTTGATCCATCAGCTATGTGATATTCTATATTGTTCTTAAAGGTAACAAATCCCATGAAAAGACTAAAACCTTCCTGAGCTCTCAGCTCTGAGCACATTGGTTTCTTCTGAAGACATACACCTAAAAAGAAAAGGTTTTAAATCTTGCCAAAAAGGCTCAGGCATTTCCTAGAGCAGCTGGTCACTTTAATTGGTAACAAATGTGGACATGTAGTGTTAAAGAGACTAGAAAGGCGCTTAAGTCAATTTATCATTTATTCAAACAGGTGGATATACATGTGTGTATAAATTCAGAACTATTTTTGCGGATTAATCCATATTTTGCACTTGTATGCGTGGCAGCAGGACGGTGTATGTGGGATTGAGTCAAAATAAGCTCTGTGTATGCATGGTAATGAAGGGACATGTGTGACTTTCTCATTTTTACATTACAAATATTTTCGCCAGACAAAAACACAAAAGATTATTGCTAAAAAGTTTAACAAAAGCTAGATTAACTTTCTTTGCTATTGCTATTTCCAGAACTTGTTTCTTTATTTTGATGACGCAGTTTCACCTCCAGGCCAGCTGGTGGCGGTAGTGGTGCAGATATTCGACGCTTAGCCCCTCACCGGCGGGTGAACGAGCTCAATAAGGAAGCAGCAGAACACGTTTGTTTAGTGTTGGAGTGTAACGTTATTTAAGAAAGGTCCTGTACACAGGACTGTCTGTGGGTGTCATGATGTCGGTCCCAGTGTGAGTGACCCGGGGAACCAGCTGCTAACAGACCAAAAACAATGGCAGACGAAGCTCCTTTCCAGTTTTTACACAACGAAGTCATTCAGTACATTTACAAGTCAGCTGAGAACGGAGAGACGGTAAGAGTGCCAGTAAGCAGCACTTTCCTCCGGACAGTCAGTGGTCGTCACCTGTGTCATTCATCACTTCTCTGTCCTTCGCTCAGGAGAATGGACGAAATATCGCCACGCTGGAGAATATGGGCTTCAGAGTGGGCCAAGGTCTGATAGAGAGGTAACCCTTCTGTACACTGGCAAGGTGTGTCTGCAGTCCGGCCAGTGTCCTGGCTGCATTCAATGCTAAATACGTGTTTGAGTCACTGGCTCATTATGGATTCAATAGCAATGCCTTGGACCTCCAGAGACTCTTCATTGTTTCATATATTCTGATGGATTCTATTTACTTTACTTTCACCTTGTAAATGGAACCAAATGAGCGGTTAACCAGTTTTTAATTTATTTATTATATATTACAGGCACGAGGCAACACAAATTAACTATTACAATAATAATACTTTAAAGTGAAATCTGATATGCAAAGGCAAACCAACGCTAGCTGTGTTTCCACTCCCATATTTGTATTGCATCAAAATAAGCTGTATGGAAACAGCATAGTTCGATTTAAAAGAAAGAAGTTTGAACATGGACACCATGGACACATGAAGACGCGTCTCATTCATTCCTATGAAGGACTCCTATCTTTTTGGGCCCTATGGCGTTGCATGACACACCTAAAAGTTGTAATTCCACCCCTTCCTGGTTATTCATTTATTCAGTCTTAGTCTGCATTTCACATGGCCAATACAAGCTGACATGAAAGAACAATAAAAACAAATTCCTGAAGACCTCTCTCTATTTTCTCTCATGGTTTGGTAGCCATGCCGACTTGTTGTTTCCAGTTCATAACCTCTATTTCTTCAGATTACAGCCATGCTAACAGAGGAGCCCAGCATAACTTCAGACTAAGCTACGCTGTAACACGGTTTGTCTGATGGAAATGCACTCATTATTTTTGATATTTTAAAAAGTTAGCTTGAATTGCTTAAGATTCGCTTGACAATTGAAGGGAAACGTGACTACTGAATGTATCTACTACCAAGTACTGTGTGTGTATCAAAGCCTGATATATGTTCTTCCTCCAGTGTTGTCCCGGAACTATGAAAACACATCAAGGAGCCGCACTGACATGTTCCTTCATTACCATGAACACACACTGTAGTTTATTACATACACCGCCCTGCTGCCACATGAACTCAGTAGAGAAACAACTGTGGAGAATGGTCCCCAAATGCATGCATCATTTCCTGTTGTTTGAGTTCTGCTTGACTTAAACTGCAGTGACCAGCTGTTTCACAAAAGACTGAATGACACTGCATACGGTATATAGCCACCGACAAAGCTGAGAAGTGGGACTAACACATTGGGTCTCGTGTAAAAAAAACAACAAAAAAAAACAATGGTACGAACAGTGTCAAGCCTCTGGACTTCATGTGAACCGCTTTTCCTTTTCTCCAGACTTACAAAAGACACAGCACGGTTCAAAGACGAGCTGGACATCATGAAGTTTGTCTGCAAAGACTTCTGGACCTGCGTGTTCAAGAAGCAAATCGACAACCTTCGAACCAACCACCAGGCAAGCTCTCTGTAGTTACTCTCATTCATACAGTAGGTTATCTTTAACGTAACACGAGCCAGCCCGACAAACTGACATCGTTCATTTAGTTTCAAACATGCATAATACACAAATAACTATCACTGTTATTCACCACCTGTACTGCTGAATGCTGTGTTTTAGGGCATCTATGTTCTCCAGGACAACAAGTTCCGATTACTGAGTCAGCTGTCAGCTGGGAAGCAGTACCTGGAACACGCCCCAAAGGTGCTCCGCCTCCATTTCAGACAATTGCACTTTATTATGACTTTCTGCAGTTTCCTGTTTGTGAGGCAGCTGATCCCAGACCTGCTCTAGAGTCCCATTAAGATCACTTTTAAATGAGCAACATTGCACAGTGTAGGTTGATTAGCTGTAAGCAAATAGCCTGCAGGTTACTCATGTTCACTTTGTTACCTTCAGGTGCAGACACATCCTGGTCACAATCCAACTCTTTTAATATTGAGCATCTGCTGTCAAATCACGCTTCATCTTTTTTAGATTTTAGTTTCATTAATAGGTTGACAGTACACAGCTAGAGTTGTATGAGTAGTTCTGTAAGAACATAAAGCCTGTGTCACAGCTCACCTTTGGTGTTTCTTGTAATGTAGATAACCGGATAGGATTTAGACAACCTCCTTCAGCATGATGCAGTTTAAACCTTAACCTCCTTTACGCGTACACACACTGCTGTATTTCTTTAGTTCATTCATGGCTGTCCATTATCAGTGTTTTAGTAGATCACTGTACCCACAGCAAATGCACATTAATCAGGATTTATATAGCTGATGATGTCCATCAGACATGCCTCTATGTGACATCAGGACATCCTTACTCCTCTTATGACGCAGATGTGTGTTTCTCTGCAGTATCTGGCCTTCACCTGTGGTCTGGTGAGAGGAGCTCTGTCCAACCTGGGAGTGAAGAGCATTGTGACTGCTGAGGTGTCCATCATGCCTGCTTGTAAGACACATCACTTGTCTATCATCCAATCAGAGAAAAGAAAAATCTTAACTTTTGCCTTTTTTCAAGAGCTTTCAACCGCATCTCTGTTATCATCAGAGAATCGAGTTCTTTAATTAGGGGCAACTGTGGCTCAGTGGTAGGTTGTCCTTCAGTCAGAGGGTCGGTGGTTTGATCCCCGGCTCCTCTAGTCCATGTCTGTGTTTCCTTACTCCCGTAAGCTGTGCATTTTATACCTGGGCCTTCACTGCTGTGCTGCAGCTGAAATACCACCTTATCACCTCATGATGGCGCCACATCTATTATTAGTTTCTAAGGCTGTAACTATATACGTATTCGTTCGGTACGAGGCTTTCAAACCGAACAATACGTTTGAATAATAGTACTGCATTTGGAAAAGGCAGAAGGTTAAATTGTGGGAAATATAATGTTTTCTGCGCTCATGTAGGACAGTGGTGTTCAACTGGTCTGGCTGCAGGACCCATCATCACCCCTTAATGACAAGCCACGACCCATTTTTCTCTTTTGGAGACCGTTTAAAGATTTTACTTTTGCAACTCACATAATAATTGTACTGCTCTACCTTCTCTTTCCTCGTCTCAGCCCCGTGTGTCACGGTGTGTGTACATCTCACTCGAGTCAGGAAACTTGTCAGAATACCCATATTTGATTGGCTGAGCTGCATCACGTGATGTGATTCACAACGCATTGGTCGGTGTTTCCCTGCACCGGTGAACAAGTGCCGTAAATCCTGGAATAATTCCGCTGCATAAAAATATCCTTTAAAATAAAAGCACAAGATTTATTTTTTTTTGTCAGGCAAAGGCCGCGACCCACTGAAAACGGGTCCGCGTCCGTGACCCACCAATTGAGAATCACTGATGTAGGAGACAACGGTCTGTGTGACCTCTGGAACAAAAAAACCGGAACAAAAAAACCGGAACAAAAAAAAACACACAAAAAAACAGCTGGAGCTCCGCAAGTGTTCTGGGAGGCTACGCTAACTAGCTTAACGGGAAAACAACAGCAACACCACGCATTCCCTCACACACACTCAAGGGCCATTCTATATTAGATGTAAAAAAAACAAACCAGTTGACTTACCAAACTCCATCCTCCTTTCTTTGTTGACAAAGAGTTTAATCTCACAGTTAAACCCACAAATCCGTTTCTCCTCCTTCAGCCATTGAGTGATAGAAAAACAAAGCTAGGTAAAAATAATAATAATCTACACCAAGCAAAATGCAAAAAATGTCATTTCTTCCATATCTTTCAATTTGAACTCTCACTACTACTAAGCCTCTGCTGTTAAGTTTTGTTTCACGATAGTCACGTGCTCACCCACTGACCAATCGCAGCACACGCTGCACCTCACTGCAGAGCTGCACCTGGAAACTGAGCTGCAGTAATGCTGACGTACTTGTAGGCCAGCTAGCAGCTCTGGCACGTCAAAGAATACGCCCAACATGTCAAACTAAAGATCTGATTGGTTGAACACTATGACAATCAACAATATCGTCCCCATTCACTTAAACTGCACATGGATGCACTTGTGAGTCTGCAGGCCTGGGCCTCTGTTCTTACCTAGAGACACAGAGGTGAAATCTGATTGGATAAAAGCTCTACTTAAAACAAGCTGCACTGGAAGCAGAGCAACTGAGGAAGACAGTAGCTGTGCAATGAGAACATAAGATAATGGGGAAAATATTATTATAAATTATAATACATGTAGTGTATTTAAGAAACATTATTAAATTATAAAATAGCTATAACTTTGAGATTCTGTTTAGGCCAGCAGAGAAGGCCTTGAAGGCCCTGACGGCCCACAACTGGTGCCCGCTGTGTATGAATGATCAGAGTATTAATGTGTATGAATGATCAGAGTATGAATTTGAAACATTTAAGGAAGGAAATTGTTTTTATTTCTGAATAAGAATGACGTGTGGACTAACGCATGCTTTCTTCTCTCTCTGTTCTTTATATCGCTGCAGGTAAATTCCAGATCATGATCCAGAAAATGTGATGAGGCCACACTCACTCTGCACTCTACTGCTGTCATACATCCTTGAGTGCTGCCTTTAAAGGGAAATGCCACCCATCTTCATCAGTAAAATAAATGTCACTCTGCACTTTAGTTTGTCTAGACTTCCAACTACGACTATCCTGTGTCCTCAGCGCCTCCTCACCCCTCTGTGTCCTCAGCACCTCCTCACCCCTCTGTGTCCTCAGCGCCTCCTCTGTGTCCTCAGCACCTCCTCTGTGTCCTCAGCACCTCCTCTGTGTCCTCAGCGCCTCCTCACCCCTCTGTGTCCTCCTCACCCCTCTGTGTCCTCAGCACCTCCTCACCCCTCTGTGTCCTCAGCGCCTCCTCTGTGTCCTCAGCGCCTCCTCTGTGTCCTCAGCGCCTCCTCACCCCTCTGTGTCCTCAGCGCCTCCTCTGTGTCCTCAGCGCCTCCTCTGTGTCCTCAGCGCCTCCTCTGTGTCCTCAGCGCCTCCTCATGCTGCATTCACACCAAACGCGTCGCGAATTCATCCGCCACATATTTGCGTCCATCGCGCCGCCGGTCAAAACGCCGGGGACCAAGTGTTCATTCGCGTGAATCGCACTGGACGCGCCGGAGAGGGGGCGGGGTTTATCGCCCTGAAAGCTGTTCAACTGTCTGCCATTAACCATGAAAAAAATAACCTCTATTTCTGCTTAGTACGTGTTGTGGAAGTCACAGATATCCCGGGAAACTAAACGTCGTCATGTGTGGGTTCATAATATTGTCCAGAGGAGCTCCATGGATTTTATCAAGGTGTATTCACTGTGCAAGCCACATTGCCACAAGCCACACGTCGATGTCGCTGTTTACTACAGCTGTATGAACACAAAATAAACTGATTTGGCTGCGATTTAACGGAAATAAACCGACAAAAAGGGACTCCGAAATAACTACGTAATGATGCTGATTTGTAGGCTACTTGTCTTCTCAATGGAGCAGGGATGGATCGGTGCTAGGCTATGCTAACATTGTAGCAGCTCCACCAACAGTCAGAATAACGTCATCTAGACGTAAATACGGCAGCGTCTATTCATTGTTTGTACCATATGGTTTACACACACACATTTATACACATAGTTTGGTCCGGTCTCTGTTGATATGAGGTATCGTAGAGCTCTGGGTGAACACAGACGGCTACAGTATTTATTTCCTGATTCAACAACGGCAGGACGTCGCTGATGACAGGGGGAGCAACTCAACGCTGATAGGCTATCGCACCGGGGCGTAACGCGAATATTTCGCAGAAGTTGAAAAATTTCAACTCGCGCGTTGGGCGATTTGGCATTTGACGCGAATTTGCGTCCATCGCCCCGCAAATTCCCGTCCATCGTGCCGTGCCATCGCAAATTCGCGCCGCGCCAGTCTCATCACGTCTGTGCATAGACTTTGTATGTAATCTACTCACGCGAATAATTCGCGACGCGTTTGGTGTGAACGCAGCATCACCCCTCTGTGTCCTCGCTTTGAGGCTGATGTCTCTGTGCGTTACCCACCACCCCCATGGACAATGAGTAAACAGAGTGCTCTCCCATGACAATTCTAGGTCTGTACCAAATGGTTGGAAGCTTTGAAGCTTCATTCATAATGTTGACATTCAAATTCTAAATCAGCGTTGCTGCATTTTAAAATCCAATGTGTTTAAAGCCAGTACTTCTGCACAGTTGCAGATAAAGATCAGGCTACACTGATGTTATTAGTATTATACTATTAGTAGAATTAGATCCCAGTGGTAGCTGGGTATGATTGTTTACAACTCGTTTGATCAAAACATTTCCAATAACACCAGAGTGATGTAAAGTCCAAATTAATTGGAAAAAGATGGCTGTAATCATTTCTAAAATTCACATGTTTTGATATAACAAAATATTCTGCTTCAGTCCATATTTATCAGCGTTCACCCTTAAAAAAACTTTCCTGCAGAAAACGGCTTGCTTCTCCAGTTTAAGGGAATGGAGATGACCTTCTGACCGGTTTAATTCATGTTACACCTCCAAACACACCTGAGACCAAATACAGCTCTTGTGACCCTTGTTCCTTACTTTTCTCCTAGGTTATGTGCCGTTTAACTACGACACTAAATACCATGCAGAAGTGGAGTTGGACATGTCCTCAATGCACATGCGCCATGCATACACTTAGACCATGAGGTTTAAAGCCTTTAAATAGGGTTCATTACCTTCACTTTGGTGGCACAAAGGTAACAGCAGTTTGAATTCATACACAGTAAACTGTTCATCCATTTTAAAATATGATATAAATGTATTAAATAATCAATTAGTTTGTTTGGATTGAAGATGCATGTGTATGGTCCCAGCCCTACTAGTTGGAGCTGTAGAGCTTCTCAAAAACCAATTTTATGTTTAAGCAGTTCAAAGAGAAATAACAATTGTTAAACAAAAATAACATTATATATACCAAAAATAATAAATACAACACAAGTCCATGTCTCTACAATTCAACGTCAAACAAAGCAACTTTGAGTTGAAGGTGTGGCGACAGTAAAAGGCAGACAGAGTTCCCTTCAACAGTGTTATCCTCAGACATGCCAACCTGTGATTTCATAAAGCGATGAGTACATGAATGAATAAAGACATTGCCTGTGATCACAGTGCTCCCCACATAGTGAAGACACTTACTGTCTAATACTGGTCAGCCATCCTGTTGAAGCATGGAAATATCCAAAGTGTTTACAATATGTAGATGTCATCTTTTAAGTTGCAATAAATACCTCTCTGTCTACGTTCCAGCTTACATGATTCATTCTCTGGGTAGAAGCCCAGTTATCAACTCTTCTGATATATAGAAACAGATCTCAGAAACTACAGAGCATTCATAAAGTATTCAGACCCCTCACATGTTTACATTTGGTTATGTCGCAGCCTTATGTTAAAATAATTCAAATTAATTCATCTACACTCAATACCTCATGACAAAGCCAAAACTATGTTTCAGAAATGTTTATGAAATGAATACTCTCTGAGGACACTGTAAATACATTTCATGCAATACACTTTATCAGAATTCTCAAGCTACTCAAATTCAAGTATTTGCTCAGACAACTTTAATTTCCAGATTTTGACCTACTGAGACTGTGTTGGTTATCTCAGCGCTCTCATCATCCTCATTCCCAGCAGGAGAAGGCAGCTGGCACACTGTTTGTTACCTGCCCACCATCTGACAGTTACAGAACAGGACGTCAGCTGTCTGCTGCTACTGGAAACCAGGCTGGAAGTAGCTCTTAACTAGCTGAGTTGAAATAATAAAAATCATTTTAGGATTGAAGTGTCCAATCACAAAGCACTGTGGCTCTAGAAGCAGTTCCTCAGTCTGAGAGAAGCTAGAGGCAGACGAGAGGACTCCTGAGTCTCTTGTAGAGGGACTGTGGTCTGTGGGTTTGTCCTGAAGAGCGACACCTTGTTAATATAAACTATGTGCATTAATGCAGCGTTTGCAGTAAGTATGAAATGACAATGCACTCAGTCCCGCCGCTGGAATGCAGACTGGCCAATCAGCGTAGCATCGGCCAGCACTGACCAGGGCCTGACAACTATCCGTCTCTGCTCCATAGACGGCTATCCGTCTCTGCTCCATAGACGGCTATCCGTCTCTGCTCCATAGGCAAGGCAAGGCAAGTTTATTTGTATAGCACATTTCAACAACAAGGTAATTCAAAGTGCTTCACATAAAACCATTAAAAGCATCAAAACATAAGGCAAAAGAAAAGGAGATTTAAAAACAATTAAGAACATTCATTGAAACAATAAAAACAGTCATTAAAACATTAAAAAACTGTGTAAGAAATAAAATACAGTAGTAAAATGCAGGAAATTGATTAGTATATTAGTTGAATGTGGTTCAATTAAAGGCAGCAGCAAACAGTCTTGATTTAAAGGAGCTGAGGGTCTCAGCAGACCTGCAGCTTTCTGGGACTTTGTTCCAGATATGTGGAGCAGAAGAACTGAACGCTGCTTCTCCATGTTTAGTTCTGACTCTGGGAACAGAAAGTAGACCGGTCCCAGACGACCTAAGGTGTCGGGATGGTTCATAAGGTAGCAGCAGATCAGAGATGTATTTTGGTCCTAAACCATTCAGTGCTTTATAAACCAACAGCAGGATTTTAAAGTCAATTCTTTGTTTGACAGGAAGCCAGTGCAAAGACCTCAGAACTGGAGTGATGTGATCCACCCTCCTGGTCTTAGTGAGGACTCGAGCTGCAGCGTTCTGAATCAGCTGCAGCTTTTTGACTGACTTTTTACAGAGACCTGTAAACACACCGTTACAGTAGTCCAGTCTGCTGAAGATAAATGCATGGACAAGTTTTTCCAAATCCTGTTGAGACATAAGTCCTCTAATCCTTGATATATTCTTCAGGTGATAGTAGGCTGATTTTGTAATTGTCTTGATATGGCTGTTCAGGTTGAGGTCTGAATCTATAACTACACCTAGATTTCTGGCTTGGTTTGTGGGTTTTAACATCAGTGATTGAAGCTGAGCGGTGATTTTCAATCATTCGTCCTTGGTACCAAAAACAATTACATCTGTTTTATCTTTGTTTAATTGAAGAAAATTCTGGCACATCCAGTTGTTGATTTGTTCAATGCAGTTACCCAGCCCTTGTATGGGATTATAGTCCCCTGGTGACATAGTTATGTAGATTTGTGTGTCGTCTGCATAATTTGGATAACACACTTTGTTGTTTTCCATAATCTGAGCTTGTGGTAGCATGTAGATGTTGAACAGAAGAGGCCCCAGTATTGAACCTTGGGGAACACCACATGTCATTTTAGTCAGCTCTGATGTGTAATTAGCTACAGACACAAAGTATTCTCTGTCCTTCAAGTAGGATTCAAATCAGTTAAGTGCTGTGCCAGAAAGTCCCACCCAGATTTTTAGTCTTTCTAGTAGTATGGCATGGTCGACCGTGTCGAATGCAGCACTGAGATCCAGTAATACTAAGACTGAACTTCTGCCATTGTCTGTGTTTAAGTGGATGTCGTTGAAAACCTTAACAAGAGCAGTTTCAGTACTGTGGTGCTGTCGAAAGCCTGACTGGAAGACATCAAAGCAGTTATTTACGGCCAAGAATTTGTTCAGCTGTTAGAAAACCGCTTTTTCAATTATTTTACTTAAAAATGGGAGGTTTGATATTGGCCTATAATTTTTCATTGTTGCGGAGTCTAAACTAGCCTTCTTTAGGAGCGGTTTAATAACTGCAGTTGTTAGGGCTTGTGGGAAGACACCTGAGAGAAGGGATGTGTTTACAATTTGTAAAAGATCAGTGGTCATGCAGTTTGAAATATTTTTGAAAAAGTGTGTTGGTAGAATATCCAAGCAGCAGGAGGATGACTTCAGATGTTGTATAATGTCTTCCAGGCTTCTACGGTCGATTGAATGAAATTGTGTCATGACATTTGAATGGATGTTATTTAGAGAAGGGGACAACACATATCCTGTGGTTGGTGTGGAGGCACTGAATGCTTGTCTAATTTTCTGAATTTTGTCAGTAAAAAAGGAGGCAAATTGATTGCATGCCCAGGTGGATTGGAGCTCAGCAGCTACCGACACTGGAGGGTTTGTTAGCCTGTCGACGGTAGCAAATAAGGTGCGTGTATTGTTATTGTTTTTGGTTATGACGTCAGAGAAGAAGGACTGCCTTGCATTTCTAAGTTCCAAATTATAATTGCAAAGTCTCTCTTTATAGATGTCACAGTGAACCTGGAGATTAGTTTTTCGCCACCTGCGCTCAGCTTTCCGACACTCTCGTTTCTCTATTTTGACCAGCGTAGCATTTCTCCAAGGAGATCTTTGCTTACCCGAGACAACCTTCACTTTAGTGGGTGCAATGGAATCAATAATATTTTTAACTTTAAAATTGAAGCCATCTACAAGCTCATTGACTGAGATGCAAGAGAGGGCTGGTGAGGAGGAGAACTTCTGAATAAATAGTTCACTGGTGTTTTCAGAGATGTAACGCTTCGTCACAACCTTGGTTTGGACATTTGTGTGCAAGGAGATTGCACTCTCAAAGAAAACACAGAAATGATCAGAGAGTGCAACATCAGTCACAGCGACCTTGGAAATGTTTACACCTTTGGTGATGATTAGGTCCAGAGTGTGACCCCTTTTGTGGGTGGGTCCTGTCACATGCTGAGTCAGATCACAGTTATCAAGGACACCACATAGTTCTATAGACCCTCTGACCTGGGGATTATCAACATGGATATTAAAATCACCAACAATAACACAGTCAAAATCAATACAGATTATAGACAGCAGTTCAGTAAACTCATCAAAGAAGGTTGCACAGTATTTAGGTCTGTAAATGTTTAGGAATAAAGCTTGAGTGGAATTCAGAGCCACATATTCAAAAGAAGTAAAATGACCAAAGGACATCTGCTTGCATTGAAGAGAATCATTAAATAAAATAGCAACTCCACCTCTTTTCTTATGCGCTCTTGTTTCACTCATGAAACTGAAGTTGTGAGGTGATGATTCAATAAGAACAGCTGCACTGTTATCTTGATTTAACCATGTTTCAGTTAAAAACAAAATGTCCAGTTTGTATGTTAAGTTTGATAAGTTTGCAGGTTTACTTTTGTTTCTTCGCAGCCTCACCTTTCTTTTTCTATAAACTATCAGGACAGGAATTGAGAAGGCTAGCTGCATACAGGGCCCCGACTTTTCCTGGAGAGAGTCATTGGTGTCATTAGCCTTGTAGCCTGGACCCAGAAGATATCAATTATAGCATCCAAGATAGTGGATCATATCACTCCAGCTCCGAGTCCTCCGCACCGGCCTGCCTTGCCTTGCCCTGCCTTTATCAGGTAGGGGAGACAGAGGATGGTTGTGGAGCCGAGGTGGAGGAAGGGCAGGGTGCTTTAACTTCGCCGATTGTGTCAAAACTGGCTGAGGACTAGGAGCCAGTTTCGGGGGTGGGGGTGGGGCTGGAGCTGTACGTCGAGGAGTGGGGCGAGGAGTGTGTTTGGTTCCAGCAATGACCAGCTCTTTCATGTGGTCAGTGAACTCCAGGTGGGGGGAGGATGGGGAGAGTGTGAGAGAGGAAAGGGACCTGGATGGAGTTTGGGGGGGGTGGAAGTAGGTGCTGGGGAGGGAGGTAAAGACTCCTCGTCTCGGAAGGGTGGGGAAAGTGGGAGATCGGAGGCGGTCCCTGATGATGAGTTTGGAGACTCCTCCTTTTGGCTGTCGCTAGGCGGGGGCATCCTTCCCGTAAGGTCTCCATGGCGATGCTGTGTGGTTATCTCTTGTTTAGACGACTCTTGTCTCTTGTCTTAGGCAGTGGGAACAGACGGATGACGCAGGCAGAAAAATAGGTTAGAGGTAAACAGTTTTACCCCTGACTTGTTCAAGCAAACTCCATGTGCCGTAAAAAGATGTCTGCGCTCCCAGAAAAGGTAGGAATTGTTGATAAAATGTACTGAATGGTCAGTACATACAGTTGACAGCCATTTGTTCAGTGCAAACAGCCTGCTGAATCCTTCATCTCCTCCTCTGACTGGTGGAAGAGGGCCACTGATAAACACCTCAGCCTTGACAGAGCTGACTGTGTTTAACAGATCAATAAAGTCTCACTTCAGAACTTCAGACTGTTGTTTCACAATATCACAGCTTCCTGTGTGCACGATGTTTTTCACTGTGGGATAGTCAGCCACGATGTCCAGGATTGTGTCTCTCATGTTAGAGACCATATCTTTCGGAAAGCAGAGTATTTTGGTATTCTTGCTGCACAGTGTTCTGACATCTTTTACAGCATAGTCACCAACAATCAGAGTCTCAGGCCCAGTCATTAGCTTTGCCTGCGGCCTTTTACTCTCACATTTACTCTCAGTTCTTACCCTGCTTTGAGGAGATAGCTGCTTATCCAGGTCATCAGATGGAGATTTAGGATCCTGCGACAATGGAGCAAATCTGTTTTGAAGTTGTAGGCTTGGTTGTTGTGGAGGTTTTTTGCAGGTTTTACTTTTCTCAGCTGTCCTTGTCCGTCTGAGTGCAGGGGTTGAGGAGTTCTGCCTGTGTGCTAGTGCAGGCCAGCCAGTCGCATCATAAATCTCAGGGCGCTGGGCTCTGCCTGTTAGTCGTCCTCCCACATCCTGAGGGTATGATTTTCTCTTCGGCTTTGTACCGAGAGAGTTCCAGGGAGGACTACCATTTGAAGATTCATTATCTGCTCTCGCCTCGTTTCTTGGTAGGCCTGGTTGTGCTAGTTAGCTGTGTCTTAGCTTGCGTTTGTCCAGTGTTTTGAGTCCATGGTAAAGTGGTATCATTCCCACACAGTCCATTTACCTCCACGTTTATTTCTAGTCGGTGGATTTTTGTTTCCAAGACTGCAATCTTCTGTAGGAGTTTGTAGTAGTCGTCCGTGGAGAAGGGAGGCATCTTGCTGCTACTTAGCTTTAGCTTAGCTGCTAGTTAGCATTTGCTAACAACCCAAATAGGTCGACAACTTTCTGGATTTGTCTTCACTCAAACGTTGAAGAGTGATATATGTGATATATCTGGCAAATTGAAGCAAGAAAATGCAAGCAGAGGCAAGAGCAAGCAGCAAGTGCAGTTAGTTTCTGTATCACTACTTCTTAATTCATTGACAGCCAGCCGTCTCTGCTCCATAGACTCTTCAGTGGTTTCAGATTGTCTTCGTTTTCAGGCTGGTTCAGTGAATTTGGAGCAAATCATAGTGAAACTTGTAATAGTGATACTCGATATCAGGAGAGGTAGAAGATGATATTAGCTAACATTAGCAGAGTACGTTAGCACATTACTAACTAATGTTAGCATGTCTATGCTATGCTAGCTACTGAAAGTATATTGAATGTCTACACATGCTTCTTTTGCTTTTTGATGATTGTAAATGTGAATAAAGAGCTAGCAGCTCTACAGGAACAGTGTTCCTTCTTTCATTGTCTCAATCTCCAGGTGATGTGGTGGTTCACTTCTACTCTGTGATCTGTAGCTTTAGCATCTAACCTTTTCTTTTCATTCCAATCCAAGTCAAGAGTGTTTGTTTTAGCACTCAGCCTTAACACAACATAGTATAACTCTGCTTTGAAACCTACAGGAGGTTTCTAAAGAAAAATATACCTTTTTATGAATTCAAATATTTTAATAAGATTTTAAAAACAAACAATGAAATCCTTTTTTAAAAGATGTACAAAACTTTGACATGTATTCTGCTCTGTTGATCAGACACCTTCAGCTAATGACTAAACAAACTTTAGAAGACATCAGAAGAAACACACAATCATCACACAAACAAAAATATATCAATGTTTTTTCTTTTTGTTTTGTTTTATATTTCATTCTGGGACAGATGACATCACAATGCAGGTTTCCCTTTCAACATCCAGTGCAGGCAACAGATCTCACAGGCGTCGGAGTGGGAAGCCACAAGTGCTGAAAAAGGAAAATAAAACGTCACCAAAAATATTCCAAGTCATTTGCTGGAGACCATAAATGTCCACGGAAATATCATGGAAATCTGGCCAGTAGAGATACTTCACTGTGGACCAAAGTGTTGCATAGACTGAACGAGGAACATCACCATCCCTAAGACCTCAGCATCAAACAACATGGGGCCATTTAGAACCGCTATGAACACATGAGATGTGGTCCGAGAACACGTCATACAAACTAGTTTGTTTGAAGCTTTCTGAAGCCTTTGGGCCTCTGCTGTAGGACAACAACACCTCAACCTGAATCCTCAGCAGATAAAGTCAGAACATTGTTTAAATCTGGGAACACAGTGACATTACTGACAATGATACTGATGACCAGACAGGTTGGAAACAAAGTTAGTCAAGATTAGTGAAGGATTATTATCAGCTCTCAGGTGTGCTCACTTTCAGTTTGCCCTCCAAATCAAGTGGTTATAGTCAGTAGTTTCCAATCCGTTTCATTGTGACCCTGTAGAATACAAGTGTTTACTTATGACCCAGTGTGGATGTGAGTTGCGATGAATTAACCAAACAGTGATCTTCTCAGATTGTTTCATTTTGAAGGATATATATTGTTTGAAGAGTTAAAAGTGTTCAGTATTTTACAAGAAAATGCCAAACATTTATGAAATGTCAGTAGTAAACACTGTGTACTGTAGTTGCAAGTATTATTTTCTTTCTTATCCCTTCAATCATGTTGTCTTTATCTTATTAACTCCTGGGGGCTCCTGACCTCCATGTTGGGAACCATATGGATAATCTGGATACATCGTTGTTTCTAAATGTCCTGTGAGAATTAAAAAGAAAAACAGCCCTGTTTTCAGCTGTGTGACAATGCATGTTCCAGTTCCTTCAAGAGGCTTTTTAAATAGTTATTTAGCTGAAGAAGTACGAGAATTTTCCCTTCTGTAGATTCGTGGGTTTCACTGGAAAGGAATGTACATGGATTTGTACTTGTATAGAGCCTTTCAGTCTTCTGACCACTCAAAGCTGTTTAACACTACATGTGTCAAGTTATCCGGTTTTTACTGTTAAGTTAAGTTCTTAACGTCTGCATTTTCCCCACTTGAAAAGGATCGAGTCCACCTGAAGGGTCCCAACTGGATTCCACTCAGAAACCAAACAACTTTTCCTTTTTCCTCCTTTTATTTTTGGTAGGTTCAGTTCAGTTAGCCACTTAGCTCAGTTAGCACTGTTAGCCATTTAGCTCAGTTAGCTTAGCACTTCTAGCCTTTTAGCTTAGCACTTTTAGCACTGTTAGTACTGTTCGGTAAAAAAACTTTAAATAGAAAAGAAACACAACCCATATTAAATATACAAATTAATTTACACAAGCAAAGCTTTCATGATAGCTTGATTAAATAAAGCACCAGTGTCAAACCCTATAATCTAAAAATGCCCCGATATTAATAAATACAGTTAATGCTGTCTCATGTGTATTTACAATACTATCAGTGAACAATTTAACTATTATAATTTACCGCAACCAGATAGAAACCATTTCGGACAATCAATCATTAAACAACGGCATTACAAAACAAAGGGTTCTCAGTGTATGCATTTGTGAAGATCAGACTGCTACGTGATGCTAATGCTAATGCTAGCAAACTGGTGACGGCAGTTTGCTTCACATCACTTCAAAGTCTTAGTTGTTTGCAGCGTCAGCTCCCTTACCGGCTGCCTCTCCAGACCTTTCAGACTCGTCAGTCATGCAGTGACGTCCGCAGATCTCCACGGTCCGTGTACGTTTTAGTCATCTGTTTTACCGTTAATTCGGAAAAACCAAAATACGGAAATACCATGGTATTCTCGTTTTTCGTTTCAAACCAAGAACGGGAAAACGGAAATGGGCGGTCGTATTTCCGTTTTTGGTTCTGAATTCAAAAACGGAAAAACCAAGAACCAAAGTCAAATAAGGTCCGTGTACGTTTTAGTCATCTGTTTTACCGTTCAGACGAAAATACGGAAATACCATGGTATTCTCGTTTTTCGTTTCAAACCAACAAACACATAAAGTGGCCTCAGATCACTAGTTACATAAGGTTAGGCCTCTTTTACTCTACATGGGAACAACTGGAAGCACAGATGTCCGCACCAGCATTAGTCTAGTGTAGAGCAGCACATACACTATGGGAATGGTCAGGGGTCAGCATCTACATTTGTCCAAGGGCACAATTCTTCTAATTACACACTCTGGGGCCAGACGTTCAAACACAAAAACAACATTATAATTAGTTAGGCCTTGGTTGTTATTATGTTATTATGAGACCATTATTGTGTATGTAAAAAACAATGAAAACAGATAAGAGCATGTAAAATAATAAATAAATGAAACCAAATGTTAAATGAGAGCTATGAGGTATTTTCTGTTTACTTTTGTGTTGTATTTTCTAACCCACACCTTTGGAATAGCATATTCTCCAAGGAGACCCAAACGCACCTTCAATTTACCTCAGGAAAAGCTATTGAGTCTGGCTTTTTTTTTTTTTATTGTGTCACATATTAGACATTTAGTTTTGTCAGGTGAAGTTACAACCTCATCAGATTTGTCCCTAATAGTTATATTTTATTTAGCCGCCATTGAGATGAATAGGTTCAGGGTATAATTTCCCATGATTTTATGTTATTGCAGCCATCTTCGAGTTTTTTTAATTAAAACTTCTGAACTCAAATGATACGGTAATCGGTTTAAAAGCTGCTTTCATTGTTTTTTTGTCCAGTTGCTGGAAACACAAACTTCCCTAAACTTCCAATCCAGAGACATGTCTGTCTCTTCAGCTGCTAAATGCCCACGATGTTCACCAGCAGTCTCTGATGCTACAATTCCACCGCTCCACTCGACTCATGTTTCTGGGGGTTTTCACTGGGCAAAGTTGTGGATAGTAGGCTACCTGGTACTTGTCGGTCGAGTTTCCAAGCGAGTTGACCCAATCCTAGAAGGCGGAGCTAAACTGCTGCAGACCACTGATTGGTCAGAGATAATCTCCACTAGCACAAGGCATCCTGCACAAACACACTGTTTTTAATAGCCAAGCAACCGTCATTAGTGACTGCAATTGTTTTTATTTACTTGACCCAGATATAAAAAAAAAAACTATGCAAAACTACGCTGTACATGCGCCGTAGAATTGACGCCACATTTACATTGTCAGTTAACAGAGTCTCCTCATGCATTTTGCATTTCTCGGCGATTGGATGGCGAGCTTTTAAAACTGCTCAGAAAACCTCTTATTGTCAATATCCACAGGGCAGCTATCCATCCTCTGAATGCCCCAGGTCTTTAAGTTGTAGTTGCAAAGTTTCATGAGACTGATTATCTCAGAAGTCACACAAGTCATTTTATACAGTGACATCAAGTTTGGCCTCACTACAATACAATGACTACTATAGGGACTCACAGCATCACATATGAATACAATTGGGCTCTTTGAATCCACAAGAGTCTGAGCTTTCCAGTTATTCCCAATTAATGCGATTCCATATGTAATTAAAAAAATAATATATACACACCCTTATGAGAATTAGTTGAAAATAACCAATTTATACTGCATGCAAAAAAACTGCTTGGTTTTTGCCCCAAACAGCATGGGATTATTATAAAGTAAGTATGTAAAGGGGAGATTCATAGGTACTATTAGTTTATCATGTTCACCATCCCAGCGGTACACGTTGTTATTGGAAGCATGTAAGTAGAAATGTAATATAATGTGCGCTAATTCAATATAAAACTGCATTAAACGTACCTACGGTTCAGTTTTTTGTGAACACTGTGTGAAAAGTGAGGTCTACTCTCATTTTAGATGCTGATTTGAAATTATTATGTTTTATTAAACGTTTCTAATAATTTTTTTTCTTGTATGTGGATATGGGTTGTTATATTGGGTTGTTCAATGGATTATTTTCTCGTCACCTCAGTGTTAGCTATACCGTATGTCTGTCTACCAGTATGTAGGAAAGATATGCATGTATATTAATGTTCACATGTACATTATCACTTAAAACACTTAATTCATGCTTTAATACAAACTTAATAAACATTTATACCACAAGTTTTAGTTAGCATATTTTTCTGTAACTTTTCTCTTTATTGCTCATAGCATGTTCACATGCTTCTATGGTGGATTTAAATGTTGAAAAACTTGACTACTCCACATTTCAACAGTTGTGTTTTTCCTCTTTCTAGGTCACACTGTAGGCACTTAAAGGTTGAAGAGGAATACTGCCACATCGTCCATTAACCAAACACGTCTAAGGAAACATTGAAACAGTACTGTCATCAGTGTTGCTTTGCTTGTAGCTAGTTCAAAGATTCCTTTGGACATTTGGATATGACTAAATTATTTAATTGGTAGAGTATTATAAGCAGAGGTGTATTAATAAATAATATTAAAATACAAGTTTTGATTAACCATAGCATCACATGACCAGTGGCACAACAGTTGAAAACTGCCATGTGTTTGCCATATCAATTTTCCTACTGCATTTGTCCTTCACAGTGTGAAACTGGTTGAGTTCCTTTATTTATGAAGTAAAGTATGGTCTGCCAGCTATCCTTGTCACCTTGTAAGTGTTGAGTCCTGGGGAATCAAACCCTGGCGACACGCCTTTCTTGTTAAAGAGGTAAAAGTTGAAGAGCTGTCTGTCCTGTGCCTCCAGGGAGACAGAGGCGCTGTTAACCTTCAGCTTGCAGGGGTATGGGCTCTCAAACACCACCCTGAACACCCTGTCCTGCAGGTAATCCAGCCGGATAGTTCGGTACTTGGAAGGGACAGTTGAGTCCACCTGTGGTCCAAACTGCTGCATCACCAGCACCCCGTCTGACTCCACCTTAATCTCATAGAAGGTCATATTCCTGTAAGTGAAAAAACCCACATATGGAGCTGGGATGGGCGGCGGTCTGAGAGTTCGTTGAGCATTTCTGAAAGCCCTTTCCATTGCAGGGATGAGATAGCTGTAGGCCTGGCTCACAAGGTCCTGGTCTGCAGGCCGAACACCAGCCATTAGGATCACCAGTCCCAGTTTGAGCCGTGGCACCAGGGAGAGGCTGGCCGCATAACCGTCCAGGTCGCCGTCCTTCCTCACCACATCATAGCCAAACTGCTCGTTGATCTCCCAAGGTGTGCCGGTGGAGTTGGCAAAGTAGCCGTGGTGGCATCGGAAGAGCGGGGTCAGCATCGTGTTCAGGGTGTCCTGGCGAAGCAAGGTCCCACCATATGCGCCCAGAAGAGCCATCATGAGCTTGGCCATGTCAGCTGCTGTGGAATACATCTGGCCTGCAGGTCGGTACCACCTGAGGTTGTAAAGGGGAGCTGGCTGGCCATTGCTGTACACACCCACAGCCATCTGCCTCTGAATGGCTGGATTTAAGTTGAAACCCGTGTCCTCCATGCTGAGCTGCTCCAGAACATTGTCTGAAACCCAGCTCTCAAAGTCTGAGCCAGTCACCTTCTGGGCTAAGATGTTGGCCAATAAGGAAAAAGCAACATTGCTGTAGTGGCATCTGAGGGAAAAGAGAAAGTAATGTCAGAAAGGTTTGCAAGCTCTTTTTGGAAGCAAAATACCAATAGGATCCTTGTTCTATGCATAAGAATCAACCTCCTTTTTCTTTTCAGAATATAGAAATGCACGGAAAGTCTAAAGTCACTAGAGTTAAAAATAGAGCAACACAGGAAGGAAACAGAGTCTTACCTGGTGCCTGGATCAGCCACAAGGACATCATCTTGTAACAAATGAAGGGCTGCCTGTGTGTCTCCGCTCCAAAGAAGATTAGTTGACCTTAATCTTCTGGGTAACCCTGTGAAAATATTAGAAAACACCAGTGAGCAAAACTGGTGAGTAAATCTGTAAACTATGTCGTCCAGGTACCCTTTTGTGAATTTGACTTTCATTTTGACTATTGACTTTGTTGATCTGACTTTTCCTCCATAGCATGAGGGGGACCTTTTTGATTAGATGGATAACCATGAATTTTGGTACATACATTCACGTCTTTCTCAGATGAATTCTAATAGCTGTACTTGAAAGACTTGTACCCTCAGCAGTGCATCCGCCTCTGTTAATCCCTCCTTTTCATTCTTAGTGCACAGAGCTGATTAGCTCTATATCTGGACACAGCTCAGTGTAAATATAGCTTCTCTCTCTCTGTTCATGTGAGCCCAGGTTAGCTAAGGTGCTGTAGTGGGAGACTTGTCCTTAACAGAAACAACGTGGTGAGTATGAGTGACTAGAGCTACATTATGACCAATGTGCTTCCTTCACACGCTGCTGCTGAGCTATGTGACTGTGATGAATGGAATGATAGGATGTGGAAGCACCAGTTACACAATGTAACAGCTTTGTTATTACCAAGTATTAGACAGTATTAGACATGGATACACAGTGTTCATTTCTGTAGATGTGCACAACCAATGCTCCACAGCCCCAAATCTAAGGAATTATTCTATTAGTCCATTGGATGTTTCTGCACCTCACAATATATGTTCAATGCAGGGTTTAGTGGAAATGCAGGATTTCTATTTATGTGTCTTTTAATAATAATACTACTAATAATAGTACATTTTATTTGTATAGCACTTTAAAAGGTACTACAATAGAAGCAATTACAATATAAACAAAATAGATGACATAACAATAAGGAACAGCACAAAAAACATACATAACTAATGTATCAATGATTTAAATAGGTGAGTTTTAAGTGCAGTTTTGAAAGTGGCGAGTGACGGAGAATGTGTGAGGTGCTGGGGGAGGGAGTTCCACAGGGAGGGGGCAGCAATGGAGAAGGCCCTGTCCCCCCAGGTCCGGTGCTTGGACAGAGTAGGGGGGGTTAGGAGGTTGCTTCGGTGGATCATCTGAGGTTGCGGGTGGGAGCGTGTCGATGCAGGAGGTCCGAAAGGTATGAAGGGGCAAGGTTATGAACCGAGTACTGAACCTTGGGGGGACACCTTGAGAGACTGGGGCTGTGTCAGACTTGAATTTGTTGATAGTAATGAACTGTTCCCGGTCCGAGAGGTATGATTTGAACCTTGAGAGGGCTGTGGAGGGAGGACTCGAGACAGGGTCAGAGAGGAAGGCAGGATTGGGTTTGGGGGGGCGGTAGATAATTGAAATAACCAGGGGTTTAGGACCAGAGAGTTTGAATGTCAGGTGTTCAAATGAGGATGAACTTTGGATGTTAGTCAGGCTGGTTTATATGAGTTATAGGGAGCAGTGGGCTGCCAATGACAGGCGCCCGGGGAGCCTGGAGTTCAGTGTATTGCTCAGGTACACTTCGACACGTGACACGTCCCAGTCGAGGATCGAGCCGTTGACCTGAAAACTGAAGTTGCTAGGAGCAGTTAACAGTTAACTTATTGTTTCCATGATTATTGAAGAAAGATGTTGTTTTCAATGTTTTTTCAGAAGCGCTCTTACAACAACCTGTACAGCTCGGTCCCTGCAATCATGCTTGTTGCATAGTTTGGATGTAGTTTGGTCACTTGAATTGTAATCGCGGAACCCATCGGCCTGACAGCAGATAAGCCTCCAGGATTCCGGTGCAGCCAGCAGATATCTGGGCCAAGACTTCCTGTTCCATGCGCTGCTCATTGTTTACAGTCTGATTAGCAACTGCAATATGTGGGTCTGGAGTTGGAGTTGAGAGACGACGTGAAACGACCGGATTATTTCACAAGTAGCCAGTTTAAGCTCATTTTAAATCAATAAAAAGCAAATCATAGATAAAAGATAGCCAGTGGCTTCCCTGATTGCCTCATTTGCTCTCCACACGGACTGTTTCCCTGCATTCCACCAAAGCCTGCTTGTACATGATTGGTCAATACTACACAAACTGCAAAGGGAAACAGAACGCTTCTGATACCAAAGTGTTGTCCCATTGCCTACAAATTCTGCATATGAATGAAGAATCTGCAAAAAAAGATAACTTATGGCACCCCCATTCTTATACTCCCAACTTCCAAGCAATTATTTGACTGTTTCTCCGGAGAGAACACCAAAACTATGTTAATCACTGAACAAATCAGAGATGATGCTGGTGATTCAGAGATGTGGAATCAGGCTGCACATTTCTTTTGTTCCTTTAAAGCTACAGTTAGTAACTGTAATACAAATTACTTTTTGGTGGCCGGTGCTTGGTGTTGGCTTGACTGCTTTCAACATGGCGGCTGGGTCACAAACTTTCTCATTTTGCAGCTGAACAGTATGAAGTTTTTATGAAAACATTTGAGGTGAAAAAAGGCAATGTTGTAACTTAATATTGATCAGAGTAATTGACTCCTTGGCTTTGATTGCTTGTGTTTCTTCGGGCCCAGTGGAATCTATTAAATGTCATACAGTGCTGCAGGAATGATTTCTAAAGCCCTGACATTTGTTGTACTTCTGTTTCTTTTTTTAATGTGTTTTTGGTTAGATGCCTGATATAAGGTCTGTGGTTGACACAAACTGAAGAGATTTTAATGTTTTGTTCAATGACATGAAATACATCAGTAAATCTCCCACAAGCTTTTACGGATCTTAAAACAGGCGGTTGCTAACAAGTGGCTAAATGAGAACGTCATCACGCCGACTAGACCGCCTCTAGCTCAGTGGTGGTGACATGAAATCATGTGACCGTATTGTAGTTTGTTTATAGCCTAACTTTAGCTTTTTACTTCTGCTGACTGTATTTCTGCTTCAAAATGAAAAAGACATTGGTGTTCATTTGGGATGATTATCTTGCTGAATAAATTGTGTAATTATCCTAAATATTGGTTTCCCTGTATTGTAGCATTAATGTTGATTATCAAAGATGGCCACCATGTCATTAAAGACAAAAAAAAAAGTGTGGTTACCAGAGAGTTGGCCGGCCATCCTGCGTAAGGTGAGTCCAGGAGAGTGGCTGCCGAGGGTCCTGACTGACGAGGATGCCGGCCCCCCACCTTTCCACAGAGGGTCCTTAATGGTGAAGTTGTCTGCGTATTTGTCCAAAGGGTCGTCCAGAGAGTCCACAAGGCCCTCCTCCCACAGCTTGTATAGCATCAGTGTGGGGAAGATCTTAGAGAGGCTTGCAATTCTGCAATCACAGTGATTAAAGTGAGCGTAACACATGCATATTATCATTGATTACATGTATCCTGGTTTATTAATACATAGCATCCCCACTGCTGCTGCACAGATCCATTAAAGCACTTCATTTATTGAGTGGTTCAGTCTCATTGATCACTGATCCTATATGGAGTTTACTTAATACAATGATGTCTAATCCTAATTCTAAATCTAAGATGCAATCCAATAGAAGAATTAGACTGCAGGTTACATCATGTGGTAATGATTATTGTTCAGATGGAGTTGCTAATATTATGGACTGGCTATCATTATTATTAATGACTAAGTATTTGGCATTTAGACAAATCACCACTTCTCTTTTGTCATATCTCTGTCATATTTGATGTTAATCTCTTTGACACCAGCTGTAAATCTCACCTGTACACCGTGTACTCATTGGGGGCAGATGAGGAGGGGTCGCTTACGTTCTTCTTGCCAAAGTTTCCATTCCACAAAACAGAGTCATTTAAAACCACAATGGCTGATATCGCTGGCAGCTTGGTGGTATGAACACTCGACCTCAGAAGTACATCTATCTGTTCGGAGAAGATTCAGTAAGAAAACTACAAGCATACCCAGGATATTCCCATGACAAAACATTTTAATAAGATGAAGAAAAATTAGACAAAAAAAAGAGATTCACTCTTTCTAAGGCCACTCTCAGCGATGTGATGGGATGGGTGAGGGGCACAGGCTCAGGAAAGAGAGGGCACATCTCCTCTACTGCCTCTTGTTTTCCAACCACTTCTGTGGAAAAGGATGAAAGGCTTATCACGTATGAAACATGTAGATACAACTCATCCGTCACTGTTGGGGATATACACCCCAATTGTAACAGAGATGCAGACATCCAAAAGTGGATCAAATGAGCATCAATTAAACATGTTAAAAGATTTTGACCATGTGTGAAACTCAGCTGTTTGTTGTCAATCCTAGAGATTGACTAGTTCCAGGAGATTTTTAGCCTAGCTTAGCACTAAGACAGGATGCAGAGGGAAACTGCTAGCCTAGCCGAGTCAAACGTAAACAAGAACTCCAATGCGGTCTATTGTTCATGTTGTAACTTGTGCGATTATCACATGCAGAACACAAAAACATTGTAGTTAAGCATCTAGCGTTTGTCATTTGGATTTTATTAACTCTCAGCAAAAGAGAGAAAAACGTTGGATTTAATCCATATGACATTTAGATAAACATGAACTTCATGCTTCCCTCTATTTGGGATTTGATGGACATGTTTGATTGATGATCTTTTCCTTCCCATCAATGATCCGTCCATCTTATTAAATCTTGCTAACCTGAATCTTGATAGCCTTGCCTCTTGTTTGGTTATCCTTTCTTCAAAAATCGAATTAATAGATGCTCACCACATTTCTCCCTCAAGTAAGCGGTCCATGCAATGGTTCCACGAAAAAAAATGGCACGCTTAGAATATAAGCAGAGACATAACTAGCAAGGGAATGGCACCTTTAATTGTATTATGTGCAGTATGTTAAAGGGTTGGTAACACTGTTAGTGTACCTCTGTGCAGATAGTTTTGGTTTTACTGGTCCAGGTTCTGACATGTCTCGACCTCAACACAATGGAAGTTAATGGAATATTATTTTTAATGCTCACAACTGAAACATTTTTCAATGGCCCTTTTAGTAAAAGTAAATGACAAGCATGCTTCTAAAAGTGAGAAAAACATCTTATACCTATCTATACATTATTACTAATACAGTCTTTTGATAGGACAGTATTCTCCAGTTTATAAAATATATATATTACCATATATATATTACCATTGAGTCATGATGTATTAGTGGTAGTAGGTAAGAGGGAATGCAGGTTTTTGATAGAACAAAAATGCAGCTTGTAGCTGTAAAACAATCCTACTGTACAGTTTATCATTAAGTGCTGTAAATATGTCAACCTGCTTTAATTTTCCCAGCAGTACCAGGTTATAAAGATGAGTGTTTTATATTATATAACCTCATGTTTGTCACAGTCAGACAGTACACTCTGAACACTGAGACAAATTCAGATTTACATCACACACAACGCTTGAGCAACTGAAGGTCGTGGCTGTTGTCATTTCACCCAGAAACATCCAGCATTGCTCAGCTCCACATTTGCTCCTCTCGTCTCTCAGCAGGAGTTCAAATCAGCTTTAACGCGGCTGCTAATCCTGCTGCTACTATTTCCAGTTTTGTGTAATCCTGCTGCCGCTCCTGCAAACGAGCAATTACACCAAAGAGGCTAAGGAGGTGCAGGCCCAAACGTAGTTCCAGGTTGGAAAGTCATGTGTGGGTGTTCTGGGGTGTAAATCTGTGTTGGTCTGATAGACTTTACCTGTTTTCAGCTTTGGCATCCTATACTGCCATATGAAGCAGCAGGTCATGACCACGGAGAGCAGAAAGAAGACAACCATTCCCAGCATGGTCCATTTCACCTTCATCTTGCCTGCTGGTTCTTATGAGTAGCAACAATGTTAGTGTTAGTAACACGTACTGAAGAATGAG